TTCCTTCAGGTATTTCTTTGTGATTGTTCCCTAAGAAAATATATTTGGCTGATAAGCTTAAACATCGCGGAATACTTTATTTTTGATCATGTAGCGTAAACAATTAATCAGAAGAGAACACTCGCTTTGAAGGGGTTGCTGAACTCCTTGATTCGAATACCAGCACCAAATATTCCAAATCGAAGTGGAAAGCATTGGAGCACAGCCACCCCGTCGAACTATCATTGCTAAAACCAGCCTATTTATGATTTTTATTCGTTCATTGTGTCCACATTTTTGTATTTATTCTCCCCTTAACGATAAAACTACACTCGTGTAATCGGAAAAGAGAGGCTTTTATTAATCTTCACAAAGCCAATACAACTAACGCCTTACACAATTAAAGGCCCACTGAGGTCCATATCGGAGTTGATAATTTTTTTTTTTGGCGTGGGTGAATAATGCGGGAGAAACCGGAAATACAGGGCCTGTCTCTGAATAGCTGTTGCCTCTGTTCTTTCTTCCTTCCCATCTTTTACTCCTACCTTACTTCCAAGCCCTTTGGCTGATGTTTTGATTGGTACCCGCGCCTTTCCTTACCAGTATATCTCGTCATTTTCCTGTTCGAGTATATTACAGTGTTGGGTAATAAGAACAGTACTGTCTCCTCTATGTCCTTTGATAAATCCGCTTTTATATTAGCAGTCTGATTTATGGGGTCACTTTCCAACTCAGTCAGCTCATAACATCTCTAACAAGATGATTTCTTTCTTCTTTGCGAAAGACTTCGTTGCGAACGGTTTCATTAATTTCTCGTTTCTTAGAATTCCGGGTCATGTACGTGATATCTTCGACTCAATTCTTGATTTGTGGGCGGTAGCCGGTAAATGCGAGACTCTTCAAGACGGCGAACCCGAGCACATCTTGGACAAGTACAACGATTTTTTTTTTAAATTTCCTCAAAGGAAATGAATCGACCCGATCAAGTTTAGACAATGCAAATTGAGACTATGAGAGATCAATGAGTTTGGCTTCCCTGTTTTACGGCGGACGATTTAAGGTCACTCAACTGGAAACTGTGTAAAATCAATTATGTTCAGTTTCTGGGAAGGGCAGCTCCAATATGTCAAGTCAGCCGAAAGACAGCGCTTTCTCACGACGAACAGTAAATGCTGCTGAGGAGCTCGATGCTAAAAACGGAGAACTGTCTTTTTATTCTGAATATATTCTGTCCTTTGATGCTGAAACATTTTCATTCGCCATGTATTGCGATCAATAGTACGAGGTCAAAAGTTCGCTATATGAAAGGAATCAGCTGATATGACGTGATGCGACCTTGCTTAGGCCGAGGATTTTGGAATATTACGCATAGCTTCCGTTCCGGGAATCTTACATTTTTGGCTTTTTTTAGACACAGTTTTGCTTTCACAAAACATGAAACTTCAGCAGTAGTCTTTAATTTGAAGCAGTGATTATAAACTTCGCTTGTGTGTATGGATATAAACAGTTGATAAATATGTGTTAAGTAGTCCTTCATTTACCCTCATTACGATAGTAGTGTAGCATAGTATAATCCTATACTCGCGCCAAGACAGGATCGGAAGCGTCAAACTTTTCGCCACAGAATTTTCTGATTACTTTCTCTTTCTGGGAGACCGAACATTTCAGAATTCCATAAACATCATGAGTTTGGGGATTTTTGCAGTCATATAATTTGTGAGCATTTTACCTCGCAATTATCAGCGAGGATTCACGCGAAAGCACAAAACCGAAGGGGGTAGATTAGGGATTTTTTTTTTCTCGATCAATTTACTCTTAGTCGTGGTGGGCCGAAAACAGCTAGATGCGGTTTAGGCAACCCAGAAATAGAAACAAAACGGACAAACTCACCATTTTCCTGCGACTTTCCGCGTCGACCGCCGTTTTTGTGCTTGCGTCCTTCAAAAACAAGTCCAATTATTAATATGGATGACAACACATGTTGGTTGGAGTTTCACAGCCGGCTGAACAACCAAATGTTGCTTTATACTTTGTAATGATGTCAAATAATTTGCCTGTTGACTCACCCTTGCGCGTGGTTCCTCAGTGTAGGTGGTATAAAGAGTAGTTATCATGTCTTTATGACTGATTATACGGAAAAAACTATGACAGTATCTTTTGTCTGCTTGACCGACGAAGGAACATATTTATATTGGCAAGTGTAGGCAAACGTTGATCGATACTTTGATGGTTTGCGTGACCCTTACAATAGAGCGTGACACACCTGCCGAGATGTGACTGTAGCTCAAGGCAATGAAGCGGTTAATCCAATCATGTGGGCGACATAAGCTCTGTTACCATGGGAAATAATTTACAAAAAATTACATCTATGCGAATTGTTCAAACGACAATAAAGACTAATCCTATTTAGTTTTCATAGTCTTTTATGTACCTGTAATCGCTTCCGGCTGTGTCACCTTTTGTTGAATTAAGAAAATAAATTCAACAGTTTCGTGCCGAGAAGAGACGACTCTTGAAAAGCACTTGATTGCGTCGAGGAAACCCATTAATGATACAGGAATGTGGAAATATTGCCTCTGGTTTGAGAGCGATATGGCCATTAAAATTTCGGCTTAACATATGGATAATTTATTTTAAAAACCACGAAATATTTTATAATTCCCTTGAGATAAATTGTATCTTTTAAAGACTTTCAAACCCTTCTAACAGAAAGGCGATCAATTTCGATTCCCTTGGATTCCGTTTCTCGGTTTCCCATCGATCAGGAACATTATCCGGACAAAGCCAAGAATTGAGGAACCTTTAATTACGATGGCTGATTTTTCTTTGGTCGAATACAGAACCTCACCCTCTTGTCTGTCGTTATGAGACAGATTAGCACATGCTTTTCTTCTTGTATTACGCAATAAGAGTTTTAATTATTATTATTTGCCAGACCTCCAACCTAGTTCCCAGGGACGCTCCCCTCAAAGCTTAACTTCATATATTGCGATATTGGTTAACACGATAATCCCTCTGCCCTTCTTGCGAGAATTTGCGCGATCATACGGTATATAATGCACGAGTGTCGGAGAAACCGGCTCTCCTTGAATAGTAAACGCCACTAGACTACATCACCTTGCCACGCCTGACTAGTAGGACTCGGTCAATAAGCAATTTACCACCCGCCTAGCAAGTCAATATCTGATCCGAGGTCACCTGACAGTGCAGGTGGCTTGTTGGCGGTTTCACCGTACTCAAGACGAGCTGGTGGATGAACAGGGGAAAAAAGACCCCACAAAGCTTTCTGACCTGTTCGAAAGAGAACGATGGAAAGCGAGCTGTGCAGTGAGCAGTGAAAACAGTGTTGATGAAATTAGGCCTCACATATTGGTCGATTTCGTTAGCAGATGATCCCTTTGAAAAGTTAATCTCGAAAATGATTGAAATAAGATAATGCTGGAATCTAACTTATGCAAAGAGGTATAACTACCGCTACATAAATAGACTGAGACAAAGGAAAGTTCGTCGGTCTCCAACTGAAAAGGGGCGGGCGAGCTTGTAGTCTTAACTCAAAGGCGTGAATGTGTTCAAACAATAACACACATGAATTTGAGACACAAATACGCGGCTAATATTTGTTTGAAAATTTGCCATCAAGCCTCTTTATCACCTCATTCCACTTTCTGAGTAATATGCTCGAGTAAGTGAAAGTCGATTATTCTTACTATTTCTAAACACTCTAAATTTAAACAACATAAAATCTCTCATCAGTGGGTGGTTGTTTTGGTAACAAGTGCCGACTTCAAGATAAGGACTTTGCGTACACGAGACAAGCCACAAATCTGCTATATTAAAGAGTTGTTTTGCATGGCTGCTCAATTACAACCAATCTCTGACCATCAATTAATTTCAAAGTTGATTTCAAAAGTAAAATAATTTTGATCCCAAGCTAATATAAGGGACAAAATGGACAAATCGCGTGAGAAAGCAAGGCTATGCGTCGCGTGATATCGACGATAAAATCATTATTGATATTAACACAGCACAAGAACAAGTATCAGGACAGTTTTGATCCATCATATGTTTGTGTTTGTATTTTTTGGCGTTCTTGCAAACTTTTTTCTCCTTAAGCTTCTTGATTTCCCTAATAATGCTGTAAACTACAAGGGAAACAGACCCTGTAAACTACAAGGGAATTACTTCTGGCCAACTTGAAAGTTCTATGTACCCCCACGATCGCCTCTACCTCAAAATGATTACGATACTTGCTTAGAGGCAGCGCTACCTTAAATTTTATGGCTATGCGGCTCCTTTAAGAGAAATTAAATAACTTTCTCAAGGAAAATACCAGAAGGCTAACCGCTCTACATGTACTTTCGCTCTTCATGGGAGAGGAAGGGGGGGGGGGGGTGACGTAGCGAAATATTCATTTTCCTTGAGAAGAAAACTGATGTAAACTCCAATAGTTACTTGCATGCTAAGACAAAATGACTCAAAGACGCTCAAACTCCACTCTTTCCCCTCCCCTTATCTTCGATGTATGAACAAGCCGTTAGTCACACATAGCACCCCCATAATTAATTTGAATAGGAGGACGATGGGGGGGGGGGGGGGGGTGGGATGAACAGAAACCTTGCATCTTTTCAGGAGGTGGACTCCTGGTCTTCCCCAAGAGGGAAGAAAAAACAATCTAGCGTCGATAGGATGAACTTGCTATTTCATTGATTTAAGGATCTTCATATTTTAAGCTTCATCAAATAATTGTCTGATAAAAAAAAAGCTCTGAAAAATATTTGTATCGACTGAGTTTTATTTGGCGGCTTACGTTACACCCTTTGCGGCTGCCTCAGTCGGCGACGGGAAAATTTGAAAATTTTCTTCCTTGGCGTTGCCGTCCTGACTGCTTAAGGTCCCTAATAACACGTATAGCTTTATCCACCGTCTAGAGTTTCATCCAGTGGATACCATCCAAGCTTGGAACAAACGGGACCTGGTAACTACACCAATCCCACAAATCCCTGCGAGAGGTTATGGCGGCAAGGCGCTCGTTTTAAACATGTAAGCTTTTCATCCATGCCCACAAACTAAAGTCCATTTCAATTTAAGGGAAAAGGAATCCATAATGAATAATATAGAAAGACTGGATGTTCATCCTCGGATAATATCAGCGCTAAAAAAGAGTAAGAACCAGAGCGATTTGGAAATTTTGTTTTCTATCTTGCTTAGTATAGTACGTAACCTTATCTTAAAATCAAGAGGTCTTAAAATTGAATTGTATGAACAGCTCTTTATTAGGATTTTTTTAAAAGTGAATTTTATTAGTTTTCCTAGATCAAGGAAAACCATCCTATTTCACCAGGGCTGTATGAAGAGGAGGTAGCGCTATTTTTACAATGCAAAGCTCGAGAAGTCTCTACTTTAATTAGAAGTGACCATGAAAAAAATAATTCTTTGTTGCGATTACGCAGAAGTTGTATACTGATTTTGTACTTTCATTCATTCATTCATTTGTTGTTTCTTTTTAATAGGTCAGACAGTTTGTGAGTTAGTCAATCAGACAGTTAGTCAGATAGACTGTTAGACAATCAGTCAGCTAATCAGCCTGTCAGACAGCTAATCAGCCTGTCAGTCAGCTAATCAGCCTGTCAGTCTGCTAATCAGCCTGTCAGTCTGCTAATCAGCCTGTCAGACAGCTAGTCAGCCTGTCAGACAGCTAGTCAGCCTGTCAGACAGCTAATCAGCCTGTCAGACAGCTAATCAGCCTGTCAGTCTGCTAATCAGCCTGTCAGACAGCTAGTCAGCCTGTCAGTCTGCTAATCAGCCTGTCAGACAGCTAGTCAGCCTGTCAGTCTGCTAATCAGCCTGTCAGACAGCTAGTCAGCCTGTCAGTCTGCTAATCAGCCTGTCAGATAGCTAGTCACTTGATCAGTTAGTCACTTTGTCAGTCCATTGATCAGACAATCTATCAGTTCATCAGTCAGTCTGACAAGTATTGCTTTTTTTTTTATTTTTTTATTTTGACATTTTCACTTACAGTGGTCTGTTTACAACTTTAATTTCAGCAAAGTTAGCAAACAAGACCACAATTCTCTGTATGTCAGCTGCAGATCTGGAAAGAGTCACAAAACTTTCTTCCTTTGATGTCTCTGTTCTTCTTAAAGCTGTTTCACTTTCACTTCCTTGTCCACCCATGAGAACTGCTTTGTCACTTTATAAAAATTCACAAGGACACAGATTGTCTCTAGGGTGCCAAATATTAGATGATTTCTTGCATGGGGGTATCCTGAGTGAAGGCATCACAGAGATTACAGGAGTTAGCTCCTCTGGTAAAACACAAGTTTGCCTTCAACTTTGCTTGTCAGTTCAGTTACCTCATGAACAAGGTGGTCTTGGAGGAGGTTAGTTTTTTTTTGTCCATCCTTTAATAGTTCTGTTGGCTGTATAGTACTTGGTTTGATCAATGTAATATGTCTAAAATATTTTTTATTATTTAGCTTCCAAAAATGATCACATTTCTTTTACCAGCAACTGTGACCAAGATTTTTTAACCCTTCATCTTCATTCTTGATGACCTTCTTTCTCATAATTCTTTCTACTCCATTACTTAAGTTCTCTATCAGTCAATTTTAAGAGAAGCTCAGGATGAATTCCTTGCTATTACTATATTTCCCCAAAAAAGTGCCTTGCCCCTAGATAATGTCAAACTAGTACCTCCCCCTGCTAGAATAAGGGCCCCCTTCCTCCTCCCTCACTTTCTAAATACAAGGAAAACTTCTTTCCACTATCACTTTGTAACTTTTTAAGCTTAAGCTTAAGCAGAATCAGCACAGGAGAAGTAAGAAGCGCCCGTTCAATTAAGCATCCTTCCAATGAGTGCCTTAAAATGAAATTTTAAACAAGCACCTACATGCTTATTCAAGGAAATTTGGTATTATAATTTTTCATTGTTACAATTCAAGTTTACCCATTACAGCGTCTCTGTTCACAATAGGTGCAGTTTACATTTCAACTGAGGATGTTTTCCCCAGCAAGAGACTGCATCAGCTTACACAATGCTTCACCAAGAGTCAAGTACTTCATCCATCAAGTTGTAAACTGAATCTCAACGATAACATTTTCATTGAACATGCAGCTGATGTGGTAAGTTCTGGTAATAAGAATTTGATCTTTGATCTTTTTCACCTTTTGATATGTGCAAGACTTCAGATCAATGTCAGTGTCTGAGCAGCTGCTCACCTGCCCCTCCCCTAACCCAACATTAACCTGACCTTGTTATCAGTTGACTGTTGTTGGGCTAGGGGAGGGGAAGATGTGCAATTGCTCCAAAGCTGACATTGACAGGAGACTTCTTGGCATATGGCATTAATTCTTGGGAGAACAGCATAAGTGAAAAGAGGAACGTAAAGCTTAGACACATAAGATAAAAAAATCAAATCTGTGATGTACATGTTTTGAACCACAATTTGACAGGATGACTTGCAAAACATCATTACACATCGCCTGCCATTGCTGTTGAACAGAGGAGCTATCAAGCTTGTGATTATTGACTCCATTACAGCTCTTTTTCGTGTGGAGTATTCACTTGGAGAAACTTCCAAGAGGGCAAAGGTTTTAAGGTCTTTTGGTGCACAGCTTCAAAAACTCAGTCATCTTCACTCTATTCCAGTGGTTTGTGTAAACCAGGTTTGTATTTCAGCCATACTTTTTCTTACACTTTTTGCCTCTTACTGACAAGTTAGTCAACATTTTTAAAAACCCCTCAGATTTGAAGGAAAATTCTTCTAACTAGTGACAACATATTTCTTGCTGTCTAGTCTTGAGAATTTGGTGTTGCATCCTAGAGGAAATGACATAACATGGAAATGAAATATTTATTCAGTGATTCATATTTCATGTAATTAATCATTTTCATTCCTTCTATTTAGGTCTCTGATGTAATTCAAACTGAGGGGAACAGGTATGATCTTTATTTCATCATGTCTTTGCATTTTTCTGTATCCATTGATTAAATGGAAATATACCAATTGACCCGAGTTCAGCCAACTAATGGTTTTTATAAGAATAGTGCTCACAAATTTGCATTGAATAAATTTGTTCTGAACAACTTCACCAAATTTCAAAAATAGAAATAACTTCAAAAGACCTTTGTTCTTAAAAGTGATGTTTTTATGCCACTGTAATTTCTTTAGACAGATGGAGATAATACTAAATTATTGCTGTAAAGGGGAGAATTCTACCATCTTAAAATTCCCTCATTATGATCTGATTTTCCTTTCATCAGCTCAAGAATTGGAAATAAAACTGTTATTCCAGCCCTTGGACTAGCTTGGTCAAGTATGGTAACTACAAGACTGATGCTGTCACGCACAGAGCAACTGATACAACGCAATGATGGTGTAAGCCCTTGGTTTTCTCAAAATCATTTCTACCACCTCAAAATGAGAAACTTTCTCTCTGTCTACTTTGCAGCAGTCGTTTTGTGGGGGGGAGAGAGCATGTGTTGTGACAAGACCAAACAACAACTGCAAAGGAGACAAAGTCTTTGAAATGGTGAAATACCAGCTTAAGGCAAATTTTTTTCTTACATATGTATTTTAACCCACAGGAAAGGAACCCTGTGATCAAGAGATGTCTGCAGATTGTCTTTGCACCTCACCTGCCAAGCACATCTTGTTTCTACTACATAGATACTGAGGGAGTCCATGGATATAAAGAACAGATTTGTAATGAAAAAAGAGAAAATTGATCAATTCAAAGACAGTAAAGTTCAGGGGCCAAGTCAGAGTCCTTAGAGCAAGTTCCATTTCATGAGGTTTTCATTGGCTTTAAGGGAAGGACCTAAAATTTGGGCATCCTGTACAGTCAAATTTACATTGTACAAGCTAGCCTCCAAAGAGGCCCTAATTAGAATCACCGCAAGATGCAAAGATTTGAGACAAGTTGGGGAGAGGTTTGTTAAGGGCCTGACACTAATAATGACTACTTGACTAACTCACGTTGATCAATGCTTCATACTTTCCAGCAGGTGAAGAAACTCTCATGCCAAAGTGCTTAAAATGAATACCAACATTAGTTTGCAAAAAACCCTTCTTAGCTGATTTCCATTGCACAAAAATGCTCAGTCTGACTTGAAAAGCAATGTTTTTTTTCCTTAACCCTCTCTCTTCCAAGCAGGGTTGTCACTAAGAGCAGGTACAAGGCAGAAACCCATCAGCAGTCAGACCATTTTGAATGACTTTTCCACTTGTTGTCAAAGACAGAAAATAGGTATTTTCGAACTGATTCTTACATCAATGTCTGGATAAATAAAGTTACTCAAATGTCACCGAATTCTAAAACTTGCATCTCAGAGAGACAAATTTGAATACCAGTCTTAATATAACAAATAAGCTGAATAAAATGGAAATAAAGAAAGAGAAAATAAAAAAGTAAAAAAACAATATTGAACTCCTTTTGATGCACAATTAATTTAAGAATACAAATCATTGAGTTTCATTCAGTAGCCTTCTTTTGATGTAATTTATTTGTTACAGATGAAAAGAAGGTATGACAGATTGTTTGAATTTATTTTATTAAGTATCATTAAAAGCTATTGCACTATTTCATCCAAATCAAGTTTACCCTGCTGATACAGGTGAATTAGAGAAATGACAAATTAAGCTTGTTCAATAATGAACATTACTAACTCTTAGCCAAAACTAAGACAGTTTACCACTGCCTAATGGGTTACTTCATTTGTCCTAAAAAAGAAAAAGCAAAGTAAAAAGATGTTTTGCAAAGAAAATAACAGTGATTAAATTTTTGTGCCACTTCAGTGCCACATTCCTCAAATCTGCCACACAGATTCATGTTTTTTACAGAGAATTAGCATCATTTCATTGTTTCCTGTCTTTAACTAGTAAAGCTGTATGCTGTCCTCCAGCAGAAACCCCCAACACCTCATGATGTTCAGACTGCAAGTTCTTCCCTTCCACTTTCACTGGCGAATATTCATCCTCATCCTCTCCTGTACCTAGCTGAAGGCAACTTCCAAAACCCCATGAATATAAATCTCCCTTGCTTGAGACAGCCAAGCTGACAGCTTCGCCACAAGCAATCTTGCAAATAGGGTTCCATTCTAATGCAGCAACTAAAACTGGGGAGGTGGTTTCCTTAGCATCTTCACCCAAACCAAGTCTTCCATATTCTGCTCTTCCCATTGCATACACTTTGCCGCTTGAGTCCAGAACAATTGTGTGGTGCTGACCGCTGGCTATACTGACACACTTGTCATTGTCTGAGTTTAAGGATGTAAGTGCTTCCACCTTTGTTGGAGCATAAAGAGTTTCAAGATCTCCAGTTCCTAGCTGCCCATAGTTGTTTAGTCCCCATGCATATACCCCACCATCTTGAGAAACAGCAAATGTGGAGTAGCTACCACAGAAAATGTCTTTAAATTTCAGTTTTTTCTTGTCACGAACTTGTTTTGGGTTTAAGATGTACTGCAAACCCCTACGCCCCCCACGGCTAGTAAAGCATCCCATTATTCTTCCCAATTGGCCTTGTTCTGCACAGCCCCAAGTGAAAATATTTCCTTCCTTTGTCAATGCAACTGTATGGTCATTCCCAGATGCTACTTTGATAATGGGGTTGCTCTTAAGGGATAGGATAACTGTAGGCTTGTGTTTGATACCATCTGCCTGCAGACCAACTTGTCCACTTGCATCCTACACATGAATTCAAATCATTATGGCAATTACCATGATGTTATAACTTAAAACAGCAAAGATAGAATTGAGGGACAGAGAAAAATGCCCCAAGTACCATCAAGTAGGATTTGTTGATTCCACTTTCAAGAGTGACTCATACAAAGCCTTTTAAACAGGAATTAGTTTTTCAAGACACAATATGGGAACATCTAGGGAAAGAGACAGACCATACAAGTTGGAAAGCCAATGCCTCTGACTTTCTCCTGTAACAGCTTGGAAATTGGTGACCATGTCAGTTAAATGTAGACCTGAAACTTCAGTTAATGAAAGACTTGTACTTGAAGCAACAAACTTTAAAAATATGAAATAGTTGTTTATCTATTTTATCAACTTCAAGATGATGATCACCTGCATGTTTAAAACTGCCCACAACAAAAACAAAACAGCTTAACAATGAACAAATAACTTTGCTGCCTACAAGTACTGGGTTCATAAAAGTCCTCCATCAGAATATGTAACACTGTGACATTTAGTAAAAAATAACAACTTACAAGTTTTGTTTGATTCAATTCAATCACTCTTCTTCATGGGGCATCAAGGTCCATTCATATTTAAATAAATTTATTTCTGATAATTACCCTGTATGTCCCCCAACCATATACTATTCCTTGGTCGGACAATGCCATTGTATGACTGTCACCTGCTGACACCATGACAACATTTAGACTTTCTATATCTTTTACTGGACCAGCAGTAAACTCTTCACCATTCTCACTTGAAGTAACACGGCCTAATGCACCCTCATCATTACAACCCCAGGTATAAACCTGTGTAAGAAAACAGCACTCATATTAATTAACTTTTAAACTTTCACTCTCTAGATCTGTACAATTATTCTCTCAGCATGATCCATTTCTTTGTTAATGAGTACAGAGTTGTTATTAAGAAGTGTAGTAGGATGTTAAACCATTACAATTTCCTCACATGTGATTGGTGCATCAGCTGCTTTATATTTCACTAATCACTTTGTACAGTTGTAATTGGACAGTGTAATTGGACAGTTGCCTATAATCGGACACCTGTAATCGCACAGTTGAAGCAGCCAATCATACTAGGTCCACTCAGCTAAATCCACCAATCACAGAATTGATCACAATAACCATAGCAACAACCACTTCCCCTTAAAAAAAAAAAAGAATGGAAGATTTCCCAATTTTTTTGCTTTAGACATTTTCCCTAGTGGAGATGTTTGTCATAAATATATATTTTTTTCAGAAATTGTAATGGTCATGTTTACCGCATTTACTCCTGTATAAGTTGATCTTTAATGACCACAAAGTCAGCCCAAAAAATCACCCTCAACTTATACACAAGTCCAGGGTGTGAAATTGCACCTAATACAGGCGCCAATGCGACTAAATTTTTCACTTTGGCGACCAAATCCTGAAAGTTAGTCGCCAAATTGGCGACTACAACGTTTCATCATAACCTTACTGAGAGATATAGTGAATAAAATAAATTTGCAAAAATAAATCCGCTGCAAACTTCCTCGTTAATTTTGTTTCCAAAACATAGCACATGCATCTCGATCGATAACTAGACGCCATCTTGGATTTAGATGAGCCTGAACGTTGTATATCATACATCCTAGTGTCCACTTTGTAGCATGTTAAAGATCTTTTCCCTAACTTAATTTTGGAGGGTCTATCTAGAACGCTGACAGTGTAAAGAAAGATTTTGTTTGTCTTTGAAAATGGCGACCAACCTTTTTTTGAATTGGCTACCACTTTGAAGAATTTAGGAGCCAAGTGGCTAACAGAAAAAAAAGTTAATTTCACGCTCTGGAGTCATACACAAAGACCTGACCCAAGCAATCCAAGAAATTAGCATAACAATTGCCTGAGGTTGGTTAGAAAAACCAAGTTTATAAAACCAGTTCTAACTGTGTTCGAGTTTCGTCACTTTTCAGTGCATTCTTCATCAACAAAAATGTTTGAAATAATAAATTTTAAGTGGCTGAACACAAAGTTACTGGAGCTGATTTCTATTGTGTCTTTGGATTGTAGGGCAGACGTTTTTGCTTGCAGCTTTGCTGCTGTCTGTGGTGCCGAACTATCGTTTTTATCAAACGATTTCTGTAGCCTAGTGACCTGGGAAAAGCTGTTGTCTCACGCAGTCCTGCTTGTTACACGTGATCCTTCAAAGCTCTTCAGTGTTCCTTAGGTTTATTTAAACTCCTTTCAAACTCAACATTAAGATAAAGGTTAGTTAAATGCAAGAAGATTTCATACAAAATATGGTAAGATACTTCTCCAATAAATCGGAGTGCTTATGTATGTCTAAATCGTGGTGATATAAACAAGTGCTAAAATACTTCACACCACACAGTTACAATTTGCTCTGCAGCCTTTTGAATTCCCCGTGTTTTCAATACATTCTCAGAAATAAGAGATTATCTTTTTGGGAAATTCCTATTTGTCTGCATTTTACTTTTTTAACTAGAAATGATGAAAAATCCGATTTTTGACCCTGAAAATGGAGGTTGACTTATACACAAGTTCGACTTGTACACAAGTAAATACAGTAATTGGTAACAGGACTTTGTGTCGTCCAATTCTGTCTGTAATCTTACTCATGATTGACAAATTGGACTCTTGCTTCACAGACATCCAATTTTGTTGATCACTTGTATGATTACAGACCAAATTGGACTCCACTCGGTCCTATTACCATTATTAATTGTTTAACTCCCTCAGTGGTTACTCCTAAGCGCCCAGAAATCAATTCACCAAATACCATCTAAACCCATAACACCCTTACATCACTTTGCATATTCTCTGTACTGTTCCCTATACATTTCCTAAAGAAATGACAAGAAATCATTTCTTCAATTCTCATTACCCTAATGTTTAATTCAGCAGTGATAATGCAAGGAGAAATTAGACATTAGATAGGGGTTGAAAAGGTAAGGATAGCACTGTTGATAAATCATGAAACATGATATCACCTTTCCACTGTTTGTGAGAGCTACAGTATGCATTCCTCCACATTCCACTTGCACAATTTCCAGATCATCAAGTCCTTTCACAATGGCTGGTTTCTTTCTTTCCAAGATTTCTTCACCCAAACCCAACTGCCCCACATCACCCTGCCCAAGTGTCAAGACATGCCCAGTTTCTCTAAGGTCAACACTTGCAGCTTCTGTAATAAAACAGAGTTATTGCTCAAATAATAATAACTTTAATATCTGTGATCAAAAACAGAAAAAAATCTTATGCTCTCTATATAAGATGGTTTAAAGAAAACCAAGGCTCTATTGTATGATTCAGTATACAGTGCTGTTTCTCATACTTAAAAAAAATATACATTTTTGCCACGCATGAAATTTTGGATCTTGTTTACTGTTGGTAATCTCGAGCGATACATTGGTTGCCTGTTGATCAATACTCAGTCAACAGTTGGTCGATATAGCTTTTAGTTCACTGATACTTTGCGGATACTTCACCAATACCTTGCTGACAATTCACCGGGTATTGGTTGATAGTTGATAGACTCTCGGTTGATGGTCAACACACAGTCCACAGACTACTTGAGTAACACTACTTGACTAACACACACACACTAACTTGTTTTGCATTCTTCCCTATGGATTTTTGAGCAAAAGAGAGACTGCTTGTCTAGCCCCACACCAAAACATTTTCCCCCATCACATGATAGCATTAGTTGATGACATCATTGCTTAAAAAGGAAGCCATTGGACTGCTTTATTACACTCATTTTGAAATCACTGGTGGTCCCCGTAATCTGATTGGCTCTAATTGATGCGATTTGTTAAAGAATTGAAGCATTTTTTGCTTTTGATCGCATCTTTTTCCCAGCCAATGAGGAGGCTACACTAAAAACAAAATAACCGATCAGATTTTAAGGCTTGTTTAAAGTAACTGATCAAATTGCAGGAAAATGAAAAACAAAGAGTATCATGTGGCAAATTTTGCAACTTTTGTTTCTTAACTCTTACTTTTTCCCCCCAAAAAAATGGACATGAATTTAATTTCAGACCAGCTCAGTACTGCGTCAATAAAACATTTGAACTGACCAAGTCCTGTACTTGGGTGATTTCAAAATAGATGTAATAAACTGGTAATTGAACCTTGTGTCGTGCAATTTTGGTCTGAAATCATACTTGTGTATATCAAATTGATATACCACCCACAGTTGGTATATTGACTGACACTCGGCCGATAGTTGGTCGCTATATTGACTAACTATCAACTAACTATCGACCGACTATCGACCGACTATCGACCGACTATCGGCCAACTGTCGGTCAACTGTCGGCCAACTGTCGACCGACTGTCAACCGACTGTCGACCGACATATCGGTCGAGTATCGACCAACTCTCGACCGATATATCGACCGCTATATCGGTCACGAGTACCTACAGTGAACATGATCCGAAATCTTTATGCTGTGTAAGCTTTAAAAATGCAATGCAATTTGAATTCAGTTATTTAAATTCCCACAGATGATATGTAGCTAGCTCTACAGGTCAAAGAAGCATCAAATTAACGAAACCAGGAACAGACAAAGGTTAATCCTGGCAACACAAGTTATAGGTGCACGTTTAGTAAGAAATGCTGACCTCGCTTCTCTTTCTTCTTGTTGACTGCTTCTTTCGCCGGCTCCTCTGCCTTTCTTTTGCTTATCTGGCGTTTCCTTGCAGGCATTCTTGGTTGTTATTTTCGTTCGCCCAAACAGAGCCAAGGTAACAGAGAAACAGCAAAAAGGCTCTGAACTTTCAGCAATTCAAATGGCTACGTTGAGCTAACCTCGTGCTAATGCGCGCGCATAGAAGGCGGGAGATTTGAAAGTCTCGTGGGACGATGTCGGGACTCCTTCGGGATAGTTTCGGGACCTTGTCGTCAGTTTCGGCAGGTTTGGTGATCTCAAAGCTTGTAACTTTTTCACGCTATTGACATGATTTCTTATTTTTTTAACACTTCGTCTAGAAGTCGTCCGAAAAAAATACATTACAGAGTTATCTATCAATGAAAATCTTGCTTGTTGCTCTGTTGGAATACATGCATATTCGTCTTTATTTTCTCATCCTGTGTATACAGCATTTGACTTTAAATTATCAAGTTATCTTTTTTCATCCCCCCCAAAAATTTTTTTTTGTCCAATTTTTTGTTCGGATTTCGAATCAACAGGATACACCCGCCCGCGCCCCATCCCGGTAAGTAAATATTTTGACAATATAACACATGCGCAGATCTGTAACCATCTGGAAGTGGAAATGAACATGGCTGCCGCGTCATGAATGAACTTCGAGAGGTTACTGGTGATACTTTCTCCAATTTCATCTCGATGTGTGGGACACAAATATGTTCCATAAAGGGAGAGCCCATCCGGATATCAAGAAAACTACGCAAAGATTTATAGATCCCAAAAAGGAAAGCCAAAGTCGGCTACGGGCTTTACGAACTCTGTTAGGTGCGAGCGATCTTTCATCTTGCAAACTGGTGAAAATTTCTAATACTGCTTTAGATCTGCATGCATAGCGTCATTCAATTAATTTGCGTTTGCAATTTTCCCTCAGATTACTTTGATCCGTCTGACTCGAGGATATTTTTCAAAAGCCATTACTCGGAAATATTCTACGTATTTCACGATGTATTTTCCATGGTTGAGACGAACCTCAAGACTAAAGGTCAGTATTTTTGAAAGAAATTTCACCAGACTTGTCCTTTTGCATAGATATTGGACACAATATTACAGCGGTGTGCTTGAGAGTCCTGCAATTGGTCAAGATGAATGTTTTGGTTATTAGAGCTCGTAGGTAGAGTCGAGTTGCAAACGACTAATTAGACTGTCAGTTTTGTGACCGTGTAAATGTAGAGCGCAACCTTCTCATTTTTCTGTTTATTTTTTTAGGCCACAAATCGCAAGCGGGAGACCTCGATTCGGTTCTCTTCATTTTAGAGGTACGGCGGAGGGATTCTAAACATATTTGTCACTAGCTTAAATTTGTTCATGATAACGTTTATGTATTTATGAATCACAGCAATGTAATTCTAGCGATGCCGAGCGTTCAGAATGTTTCATTAAGTTTGTGATAAACATAAGCTTGTTTATGGTTTGCCTGCAACTGATATCAAAATGCTTACAGTCAAGTTCGTTTTCATGTTGCATTTGAAGTAATGGCTTATTTTTATTATTATTGAACAGAGAATATTGCGCTATCTTCCCGAGTTAATCCAAAAGCGATGGCAGTTCAACAGTATTGGTAAATATGCTGATTTGTTTGACGTTGATACAAAATTAAACTTTGAAATCCATAACATTATATTTTCAGTAGGTCTCTAAACGCCAAATAAAAAATTCAAGCAGCCATATGTCCATTTAGTGCGAAATTCCGCAGTGATTTAAGTAATCCTATTATATCTTTTGTTTACATTTCCTCTAATTAGTATAGCTCTAATTTACTATTGACAGCTTTCCTTCTACCCAAGGAGAGGTGATAATTAGGTTCTTTTTTTTTTTTTGGAAAAAAATTTAAATTCATATCCTGTCTAAAAATCTCTAGCTTTACCATGGTGAGACTTAAACAAAGAGAATTTCACTGTCTTCTTCCATTTTAGGCCATGGAAACTAGATAAGCCAACAATTTTCATTGTGGAAAATCTCTATTGATCAGCTAAATGTACTTTGCTGGTGTTTATTACTTGTATTAAAGCTTGACTCACTCAGAATCTTGTCAAGCTGTTTGATAAACACCTCAAATTGATTTGGAGAAGCCTACATTTTTAGCAGCAGTGATGTTAAAAGTGGACCGAGACTCCATATATCATTTACATGTTTGTTAATGTTGATAATCTTACATAGCTGCTTTGAAAAGACAGGAAGAACCTATGTTCTTGCCTTGTATGAATTATGATAATTCATTTTCTGGCCTTTAATTTCCACATAGCACGTGTAATGCGAAAGCTTCTTCATCGTGGAAATGTCCTAAAGGTGAGATGTTACTCACATCTTTTAAATATATTGCTCTTATTGGAAGGAGAAGTCATTAGTTTAACTTTCAATAAAACGTAGGCTGTTACAAGGTTTCTGGGTCTGTGGCATTCTTTATCTCAAAATGATATTTGAGAATTTTATTTCCATATTGGCATCCTCACCCTGGCCTTTTACTCCTTGATCCTTCCTCCTCCCTTCCTTCCCCCCTTCCTCTCTCCTTCCTCCCCCCTTCCTTCCCCCCTTCCTCTCTCCTTCCTCCCCCCTTCCCCCCCTTCCCCCCCTTCCTCCCCTTCCTCTCTCGTTCCTCTCCCCTTCCTCCCCCCTTCCTCCCCCCTTCCTCCCCCCTTCCTCTCTCCTTCCTCTCCCCTTCCTCCCTCCTTCCTCCCCTTCCTCTCTTCTTCCTCCCCTTCCTCTCTCCTTCCACCCCTTTTCATCTCTTCTTCCTCCCCCCTTCGTCTCTTCCTCCCCTTGATCTCTCCTTCTTCCTCCCCCTTCCTCTGTCCTTCCTCCCCCTTCCTCTGTCCTTCCTCCCCCCTTCCTTCCCTTCCTCCCCTTCCTCTCTCCTTCCTCCCCTTCCTCCCCCCTTCCTCCCCCTTTCATATCTTCTTCCTCCCCCCTTCGTCTCTTCTTCCTCCCCTTCCTCTCTCCTTCTTCCTCCCCCTTCCTCCCCCTTCCTCCCCCCTTCCTCCCCCTTTCCTGCAAGAATGTTATGCTGTTGTCATCTGTATTTTGAAGTACTTAAGGTGAAAATCACATCAGAATAACCCTTGCCAGAACCAGTCTGTCACACTAAGCTGTATTGCATTATGAGAACAGAAATATAATGACTTTTAGAGGGTTTTGTGGTTGCTGTGATGGCCTAACTATTAGTTTACTGAACTCCAGGTCAAGAGGTCTGGGTTCAAGACCTAGCCAGATCATTACAGGGCGTGAAATTGCGCCTATTACAGGTGCCAATGCGACTAAATTTTTCACTTTGGCGACCAAATCCTGAAAGTTAGTCGCCAAATTGGCGACTACAATGTTTCGTCATAACCTTACCAAGAGATATAGTGAATTAAATAAATTTGCAAAGATAAATCCGCGGCAAACTTCCTCATTTAGTTTGTTTCCAAAACGTAGCACATGCATCTCGATCGATAACTAGACACCATCTTGGATTTAGATGAGCCTGAACATTGTATATCATACATCCTAGCGTCCACTTTGTAGCACGTTAAAGATCTTTTCCCTAACTTAATTTTGGAGGGTCTATCTAGAACGCTGACAGCGTAAAGAAAGATTTTGTTTGTCTTTGAAAATGGCAACCAACTTTTTTTGAATTGGCTACCACTTTGAAGAATTTAGGAGCCAAGTGGCTATCAGAAAAAAAAGTTAATTTCATGCCCTGCATTATGTTGTATTCTTGAGTAAGACACTTTACTCCGATGGCACCTCTTTCTACTGAAGAGTGTAAATGGGTGGTGGCAAGTTGTCAGGGAAGCCTGATGAAATGCTGGGAGGTAACCTTGCAATGTACTTTTATCCCATCAATGGGGGAGTAGTAAAGGTCCAAATCGCTTTATGCTATGGAAACAGATATATATATATATATAAGTTCAGGTTGGATGGCTTTCTTAACTCAAGGACAGGCTTACCCTTTTAAAGCACTTCTCTCCTATTTGTCTCAACAGCTACGGCGGGAGGGTGTTCGTCTGTTCATGCTGTGGTTCCAAGCATTACAGGACAACTCAGATGAATTGTGTCAGCTTATCTATGCATGTTTGATTCCTGGTTTTCCAAATCCTGTCGATAGTCTTGACTGGAGCAAGAACAAGCTATCCAAAGCTTGTGCTGAGGAAATATATCTGTCAATTGGTGACATGGCATCCAGGGATCTGCTTTCTTCAACTAGCAACATGCATTTGTTATCTGCTGATGGAGAGAGTGAAGGTCAGTTAAAGAAATGTATTATTGACTTACAGAATATATTCAAAGACTTATACACTTTTGTAAGGAAGACATTGTTAATAATGGTCATTTAATGCTTTTTTATAAGCCATACTCCTGTAGAGTTCTTTAAAACCCCCAATTTCGAAGTCCTTGCCTAAGGTTTGGTTGGGTAAAATTGATGTCTTAGACCTGCAGATGTTATGAATGATTTAATTATTGCTGATTCCCTCATTAATAGCAAGCGTTCTCTAGTATCCTTTACACATTGCTGCACAGACCATAAATAAATATTTTTACAGTAAGCATATGGTGGAATTCCTATTGTAGAAATCAGCAACCGTTGATTTATATGTATATATAATAGGATGACAGTGTAAGTTCACAGAAACCCAACCCATAACTCTCTTCATCTCTTTCATCTCTTTCATCTCTTTCATCTCTTTCATCTCTTTCATCTCTTTCATCTCTTTCATCTCTTTCATCTCTTTCATCTCTTTCATCTCTTTCATCTCTTTCATCTCTTTCATCTCTTTCATTTTAAGACTGGTGCTTCTCAGATGAGGTAGGACCAGTCCTTCCAGCAAATCCAAGTGAAAGGATACTTCCACCAGAGACACTGACAAAGTTCTTCCTGGACAGAGTGTTGGACTGTATGAGTACACAGGTACATTTTGAGGACTTCATTAGTACTGCATTGGGCATTACTGCTGCAGTTGATCTCAGACATAAATGTGTCAACTAATCCTAGATTGTTCACGTGTGTTTGTATTAACTTCATTATTTTTTTATATTTAGCTTGTCCAGATTGAGTGGACCGACAGGAGAAGCAGGGAGCATGCATTCTATTTCTTGTTTGAAAACTTCAAAAGATTCTATCTGCCACACATCTTTCAGGACTGGAATCCTTCAAGATTGCTCTACCAATCCAACCCTGGTTAGGAGATAGTACATTCACCTTAGTGCTTCTCATTTTGTTATGAAAGAGTGCTTTCTACAATTACCAGCCAATCAGTTGATTGATTGATTGAATAAATAATTGGATGATTATTACTAGATTGACAGCTCACCAGTCAGCTGACTGATTGTTCAACTGCTTTACAGAAGAAGCCAAAACTGAGATCCAACTTTGCTACACTCTACCTCTATCCTCATTCCATGGCATTCATGTCTAACTTTTATTTTTTTGTCTTCTGTTTAGCTGCACAAGTTCCTTGCAGTAGACCTAAGAAGAGTGAGTCTAAAATGTCGATGACCAGTGCAAGGGACTCAGTTTTACGATGGTTTGTGGCCTTCACAGTCAGATTTAAGAGAAGTAACAGCACCTCAGAATCATTGTTAGCTGTCAATCAATCAGAAGTGTCATCAACATCAACAGAGAGTATTGAGCCAGGCTCCCCTGATTCAGTCAAATTCAGTCTAGCACGTAACAGAGAATACTTACAGGATGCTAGTGAAGTGATAAGAAAGGTTTTGTACTCCACCAAGGCAAACATCAGGCTTCTTCATGAGGTCTTGCGTCAGGTACATTAAATAACTCAATCACTAACAAAACCAGTTATAACTGTAGGTGCGTAACACATACATTGTAATCCTTTGAGTGTGACAGGCATCTAATTTATCCTTACAAAATCTCCCCTGAATCACATATCAAGGTCAGGAGAATTGAGGAAATGATCACAAACTGAAGAGGACCTTGATTGTTAAACAGTTTCTCCAAATCAGCTGCTCAAGAGATGTGTAGAGAACATTATGGAGAATATGCACACTGATGTTTGAGTGTAGAGGGTTAAACAATCTAATTGATTTTTGTTCATTATTTCTTTAGGCATTTCGTCTCCCAGCCAAACATTTAAGCACCATCAGGCAGGTCCTGCTGGTGTATCATGAGTGGCTTAAGGTAAGTTGATTAATCATTTGACCCCCAAAGGTGACCAGCATCTAATTTCTTCTAACATTATCACCCCTGAATCAAACATTAAGGTTACGAGAATGTCACCAATTAAAGAAGCTCTAGATTGTTGAAAAAATTCTCCTTGTCAGCAGCATAGTAAACATATAGAAAACAGTATGGAGAATACATATGCTGATGTTAGGGTGTAAAGGGTTAATATTCCACTATTTTTTAAATACTGGTAGTTTGCTTTGAATTTAGGTATCCTTTCTTTTCCCTCTTTCCTCTATGTCCAGACAAATGTTTCCTTAGTGGCATACACTGTATGTTAAATGCTGAGGAAATGTTTCACCTTGATTAAAGCTTAACAATTATGTCTGGCATGTAACTCATGACACCCACTCTGCCAGATTTAGGTTTCTGGTACCCATCACAGGTTATTCTTTAGAGCTACATGAATTTTTCCTGACAGTGATATGATTCATTTGCTGATACACCATTTTACAAAATGCTTGGACTAAGCTAAGAGAAGCACTGTGAGAGAGTGTTATGCCTCACCCAAGAACACAACAAATTTACCCAGGCTCTTGAAAGCTCAGACTTTTTGGTCCATACACCCTTGTGATTATGCCTTTTGCATTTCATTTTTCAGCTAATACATCCATTTTTTCTGTTTTAGAGTCCTGAAAGACCTATCTTCATGCTCGAACCTGATCAGGGTGTGTTTCCTTCTCTTTCTGTTGAGGAGTCCAATTACAGTCCACAAAGTCCCATCAGAACATTTTCATATTCCTATGCTGTAGATAAAGAAAGAGAGAGAGCATTCAGACTTCCTTGTGAAGATGTAAGAGCTGGTCTTCAGGCAAATCTAAGGCTTTTTATTCTACATGCAGCTGCAGTGTTCCTTGTAGAAGATGAAAAGGAATATTTGGATAAACAGGTCAGCCAGATTCTTTTACACATCTGTGGTAATTAACTTAAACTGTTCACCAAGCAAAGATTCAAGAGCTCAGGGTTGATGGTCAGGCAAACAAATCTTTATAGGAGGGTTTGTTTTAGGGGCTTTAGTATCTAACTAGATTTTTGTATATTTTGGTTCTAGGTTGATGTTTGCAAACGAGTGGTCCATCTCTATCGAAGCATTGTTCTAGAAGTTCCAATGGAATCAACCACTTGGTATAAATTTAGTAAATGATTTCTTGTACTTGATTAAGATTTATCAGCAGTTTAAGAACAAAATGTTCTGCCAAAATCACAGTCATTCCACTTCTTACCTTTTTTCTTTTCAAAATGTTTTTGTTTTCAACAGGGAACAGATGCTGGAAGCTCTACTTGAAGCTTCAAGACATCTACTGGTACCTGATAAATCCCAGAACAAAGCTAGGGAAATAGCTAGACAAACAGCTGGGAGTTTACTTCAGGTTTGTTTGCTTGTAAGAGTATGAAGACACTTGCTAACAAAAATGTTTAGGATTTTTTTTAAATTTAGTTTTTTAATGTTTATGATTCTGATGATGATGGCTGGTTCCTTGGGTTTGAGGATCAGGGGAAAGGTCATTCCTGCATTCCTGTTGACATGCCCCCTGGTGACTGTGCAAGCCAATTCTTGATCTACATACTTTGCCACACTTTAAGCATAGGAATCCTTGGGTAGAGGGGCTCAAGGAAGATGATGCCTTTCTTCTCCTCCATTTCTCCTCTGTGGCATCTCTTCTGGCACATGGCACATGGCTCTCTAGCTATCGCTGTCCTTTGTGTCTCTTTCCCACTTTTTTTTAGGATTCCAGCTGCACTGAGCCATCACCTCAGCTAGTCTTTGGTAGGCTTTCATGGGGCTGCTTTGTTACATTTTCCCTGGCATAACTATACTAAGAACACAGCTTTGGGCTTCTGAGTGTTGTCCACGAAATATAATGGAATATGGATACTGATGTTAGGGTGTTAAGGGTTGAACACTAAAGTATTATTTTCCTCATTTTTCACACTCAACAGACTCTATTTGTGACATGGATTCGAGCAAATCTTAAAGTGAATGTTCCTATTTACTTATGGGATAAGTGTTTAGAAGTTATTTCATCTGCAACTCACTGGGAGGAGATAATTTCTGAATGGAGTGTAAGTATTCAAACCACAAAAATGTTTTAGTAATGATTTTGATCCTGGACCTTTTTGTTTTCATTTTGATACTATGATTGGTATGCGACCACTTTGCCCCATGGTCATTTTGCCCCCAGTCACTTTGTTCCCACCAAAAGTCAGTTCACTCCATACAAAAGTTACTTCGCTGCATGCTATAAGTCAAGTGTATATATGCTTACAAGATTGTGTTTGCCTTACTGATGTTATACGATCTTGATGACATGTTTATAATTGTATAATTAATAGAAAACGCCAGCAGCTACAACCAAAAAACCCATTAGATCTAGACTTTGAGTTAGAGGAAAGCCACATCCCTGACGGTTTCTTCTGCTCATTCACGACAATAATTCACCAATTTCTTACATGGAGCGAAGTAACTTTTGTGCGGAGCGAAGTGACTTCAGTTATGGAGCAAACTGACTTTTGGTTTGAGCGAAGTGACTGGGGGCGAAATGACCATAATTCTTATGATTACTACCTTATTGTCTCTTTTTAACATTCCAACTCTGGAATTAAAGGCCAAATTTGTAATTTCATTTATGTTGCTAGTAATTAGTAGCATAAGGGCCATCTGAACAAGGTTTAATCACATTACAGTGAGCATGTCGTTTTAAATCTTCTGAAAACACCATACATTTTTCTTTAGAATGGACAATAAATATATAACGCACTGTTTAAGGATTGGTTTACTTCTTCAGAGTTCACAGGCTACTGAAAAGCATAATAACGTCTTCTCGTGGTGTTTATCTAGGTGACAATGGAAACTTTAACCAGAGTGATGGCTAGGACAGTATATGGTTTGGACATGGCAGATCTTCCTCTGGAAAGACTAACTGAGCAGAAACGTAAAAGACGACCAAACCTACAACAGGAAAGGCTTCAGTTTACCAAGTCGTCTTTCTCAAGATGGAGTCGATTGGAAAAATCCAATGGTCCTAAGCAAATTATGCCCCAAGTTGATAAAACTATACATAGTGAAAAGCATGAACAATCCATGTCACCAAAGACACAAAGGCCTTTCGTATCAAGTCAAGAAGGTGGCCAAGTTTCGTCAAGCAGCTCTCCTAAACATCCAGAAGTTAAGGTGTTTCCAACAGCCAACAGTACTTTTTTTCCCTCAAGTACAGCAGAGGATAAGGTGTCTCCCTTTAGAAAAGTTGCTTCCTCTCCCGTTTTTACTGCAGGTTAGTTTCCAGAATTATTTGTGAGTAATGCTGTCTGTGAACGTGGTGCATAATTTGGCAAATTAGTCATTAAAATAGCAAAGAATGAAAATTGATTTAGGATAGACGGAGCCATATATTCAGAAATTTCAATTTCAAGACTCCATCTTGAGTTTTTCCCCGCAAAAGTTGAATTTTAAGATGTTTTGGGCATTTTTCTGGCCATTTGTGTGTCAAAATACATGGAAACTACTCTACTTGATACATTAAGACGAGAGTGATCATCGCAATAATGAATACTACTTGAGCAGTAGTAAAAATAAAGCCTGGGAAAAGGTATATTAGCTATTACTCAGAGCTGGTGCAGGCCTGTTTCATTCGTAAACAGTCTTTAAAATAAATGTTCCTAACTTTTTTTTCTGTTTTTGGTAGGTACAGTAACAAGAAAAGACACTGAAGCTGCGGGCCAGCTTCAGCCTTCAAAAGATGCCAACAAAGAAAGCAAAGAAAGTTCTACTGAGGAACCCAAAGTGGGCTTCACCCTTGCAAGTGATACAGACAGCGTGGAAAGCCTTGACATGCCGTCTAGAGCTGATGAGGACGCTGGTGCTATGGCTAATGAAGATTCTGAAAATATGCCAGATGGAAGATTTAGACAACGTTTGAATCGTTTAAGTAGCAGTGACAGTTACTTGTCAAGCCAAGACAACATGAAATCCATGGCCTGGTACGGCAGTAGTCTCGACTTCGACGTGAGTCCATGTTCCAAGTATGCACCTGGCTCTGAATCACCAAAGATGCTGGGAAAGATCGATGAATCAAGTCTGGAGTCCAAATTAGAGGACTTGCAACTCAGTCAGCATCGACCAGTGTACAGGACATCTACTCCTTCCCGCGATGCAAGACTGGGTGAAGGTGAGGAAGGTGTCCTGCAGCCTCTGACTACAGTGAAGGAGGAGTTCAACCATGATACCGGGGGCAGGTCCTCTGCAGAATCATCTGGAAGAGGTTTGTATCTTAAATCAATCTTCTTTTAATCCTTAAACTCCCAGAGGTGATAAAAATGTAACTTCTCCCTGTAATATCCATACATTACACAGCAAACAGGTAATGAGAATATTCAAACTTATCAGGTAGAAGTTGTTATCTTGATCTAACACAAATTCATCATAACTAATATACAAGGAAGTGTGTAGCATATAGAGAGAAGAATTAACAATCAGATCTTGGAATATGAGGGATTACATTTTTTTTTCTAGGAGATTTATGCACCTGAAACGATATAATTGCAGTCAATGTCAATTCATTTCACCGATCGCGTCTTGAAATTCTAAAGAGTAACTCTGCGGAAAGTTCGAATTTTGAACGCTGCCCTTTTAAAAGCACACGGAAAACCATAACGCGTGCTTCACTGAAAGCAGCTTTTCAGACTGCATGAAAACATGAATATTTTAGCTAATTTTCGCCTCTATCGGTGTTTTTAGCAACTCCTGACATCCTCGCACCAGGCTCTCGTAGCCCCTCCCCTGAGCCCCACCTGGAAGAGACCCATGAAGGGCTTCTTGATGACGACTTCGTTGGAGACGACTCTCACGAGGAAGACACCAGTGTGGTGGCGGGAGGGTACAGAGAAGGTTGGGGTCCTGTGGCAGCAGTTGTCCTGTGGCGCAGAATGCTGGGAATTCTGGGCAATGTGAACAAAATAAAAGACCCTGCAATCCACGCTAAAGTGTTCGAATGTCTTACAGCTATCTGGAATATGTTGGCAAAGGTAAATCAAGCTTTCACCTCCCTTTAATACGACATTGAAGTTAGGATAGACCCGCGTTTTTCTTGTGATCTTTATCACTGTTTTACATTGACATTAGAATCTTTCTTAACCTACCTGTTGATCGTAATTTGGGCGCATAACTGCACAGAAAAAGTGTCAAAAGGCTTTTTTTTTTTTAAAGCGAATCCATATCTTTCTAAACTTAACTTGTTTCGCTAGCATCAGACAAATTAAATTGTTGCGTCAATTCGCTTGTATTTGCTTTAGATCCGATTGAATCAGGGCATTTCACTGGATAACAAGTCAACTCCACCCATTCCTGTGTTGCTTCCACCTTTACAGCACATGGCTACGTGGGTTTTTGAGGTCTGTATATTACATGTATTTTGTATTTCAATTTATTAAATAGCAGAGCGGCAGGTTGTTCAGGTTGTTTTTTTTTTTTTACGTTGTTTGGTTCCTTGTTTTTTCAAGTCCCTCATACGATTTGTAGATTACCAGAAATATAAACATGTAACGAAAGTGGTAAGTGGTTCATTTGGGTTGATTTTTTTTTTTTTAAAATCATGGGCATTTTTTACTGTATATATGGCTGTAAAAACACAGAATAAAAAGTGCGCACGTTTATTTTGGTGAATGAACCGAGACAGAGGCTTACAAAAGCTGACGTTTCGATCGCTAGCAACCGTCGTAAAAAGATTGATTACTAACACAGACTAATCCTTTGGCCCTAAGAGTGACAAGCATCTTATTTCTGCTCACGGTATCACTCCTCAATCACGAGAATAAAGGAAATTATTACTACCTAAAGAAGCTCTTGATTGTTACACAAATTCTCCTTGTCAGCACCTTAGGAAACGTATGAAGAACAGCTATAGGAATATGTATACTGATGTTCGGGTGTTAAGGATTAAGGGCCAACTCTCGAAATGTCAGCTGACAACGTTCTATGCGGTTAATTCGGTGAATGGTATCTCGATCAACTTTAGTTTGTTTGATTACTAGGGAAAAAATACAATTTTTGTAACAGAACTCTCCTATGTAACCCTTTGCAAATGTGTCTTGTTATCAACTTGTTCGCTTTTTGTTTTTCTGTTTTTCAGGCTGCTTCACTGTCCATTAACAATGAATTTAAAAGCGGTCGTCTTCTCGCCTACAAACTAATGTGCGCCATGACTGTCAGCCGTCAAGATATGCCGCTGTCACAAGAATACTTAACGCACTTTTACCGACTAATGCACATTGGACTCACGGGAACTGATCAGGTGAGGTTTCACAAGAAGTAAGATGGATTTAAAAATTCTCGCGAACGTCAAATAAGGGAAAATCTTAGCCCTCTGTGAGGATTTAAACTCCAGTTAGGCACCGTTTCATGGTTAGATTCACCAACAACTGTGCCTATGCCGACTCATCTCTAAAATTGGCCATAGAGAGCAATTTTCATCAGGGAATTGCGTTGGGATTGCTTTAATACAGTTTGTGATTGGTCGAGAATTTTCGCGTTATTGTGTCAACCGATCAAATGTAAAACTGAAGCGACTGAGTCACCCGCGTTTTCCCGCGACTTAGGCAGTTTGCTCGCTTTTACTTGAGTTCTCATTGGTTCCTTGTGATATTTTCTTTTGTTTTGATTGGCGTTTGTGATTTCTTTGGTTTTGTTTCTACCACATTCAATCGAAAAGCGCTCTAATAGGGTCGAATGACTGGCGTCCTGCAAGAATGAGCAATTTCTAAAGCGTCCTTTTGTAATTAAAAACAAAAAAGAAAGAGGGAAAGTTTTGAGCGCAGTCCAGTCGAACAGGAAGAGATACTAAGTACCTGTACAACTTATGCTTTTCCTTATGATTTTCAGAATGTCACCAGCGCCATTATCAGCAGCTGTGCAAATTTCTTCTCTGTGATGTTACCAAGCTCCAGTCTTTTGATTCTTGACTTCATTCAGGCAACTAATGGAGTTGTTAATAGTCAGAACATGGAGGTAAACATTACAATTCATCTTAAATCAGGCTCAGAAAATGATCATCGTCAAGATTTCCACTAGTGCTGTGCTTTGATCTTGAAGAGCAGACTAGCAATGCAGTGTTCATGTGCGTCAATAGTAATCCCATTTGTGTTTTTCTCAACAGTTACCAAGAGAAGAAGCAGTTACTCTAATTGGATCGTTGTTGTGTTTTCCAAACAATGTTGCTAATATGCCCCTACATCAGCCAGGACATCAAACGAATGAGTATCAGCCAAAAAGTACATGTAAAGACGTCAAGGTCTGAACACCCTGAAAAGTTTACTTCTATCGTAACTGCAATAGAACTTAACCATTTGACCCCTGAGAGTGACCAGCATCTAATTTCTCCTTACGATATCACCACTGAATCACACATTCAGGTCACTACAATAAAGGAAATGATCACCAACTCAAGAAGCTCTCGATTACCAAACAAATTCTCCTTGTCAGCACCTTAGAAAATGTTAAGAGAAAAGTATGGAGAATATGCATGCCGATGTTAAGGTAGAGAGGGTTTAAGGTTGAAGTAGAAGTAAAACTGTCATTTTATTTCCTTTCGTTTCAGGATAAACTTATCAGCTCGTTGTTACGAGCGTCAAAGTTAGATCCGTCTTGTTCTGCAAGGTAAAGTAAGCAATTAATTATACGTCTGTCTCAGTAACAAAGTTGGTTAAATCACTGTTGTCTCTATCCCACTGACGCTGCGAGCTTTTGATGTTAATATTTTAATTTTTTTTCAGATGTATCGCGCTTAATGCCCTTGGTGTCTTCATAGCTGAGGAGCTTATTCATTGCCAAGGACATCCTAAAGTTCATGAATGCCTTTGTGTGCTTTTAGCTTCTATAACTGTGAGTATAGATTAGTCTTTTTTGTATAATATGTACGTGTTTTCACGTGTAGCGTGTTAGAAAGCATCCATCTGTGGCTTACAGAGTTTATTTAGACGATTACGGCAAGAAAATCCCGCAAAAAGAAAAGACTATGGGTCAGTTCCTATGGGCCGTTGTTAAACTGCAAGTTTTCGCGGTCTACTTAAATTTTCTTGAAGCCCCTCAACTATATTACCAGGCAACTTGTAAAATTTGCCAGTTGTAAATTTGGGGACTTCTTATAGCTTCACCTGCCTTTACTCATTTTAGCTGCTGTTTTCCGTCTGCCTCAATCGAAAGTAAAGACGCAACATTTATATCTTCGATTGTCTCTCCGCTGAGCACTTGCGTGATGATCTACCTTACTTTGGTTACATATTTACTGCTGGTGGATATGTGGAACTATAGATTTTTTTTTCAAAGTCGTATTATCTAACACAGAGGCTTCTTCTTGCTTTTTGTAGTTTCACAACAGATCCGTTTGTCACGTGGCTTGCGGTGTGATTCATCTGCTATCTGAGTATTACAAGGAGCTTGTCGCGTTTGAAAAAGATCTTCCGCTCAAGATTGTCGAGGTTTGTCTCTTGAAGTAACCAACGCTTCATGTCATTGAAACTTTTTTGGAGAATTTGCGTTCAATAATTATCTCATTGACGTCAAGTGTGACTAGCATCTAATTTCTCCTTACATTATCACCGCTGAATCAAACATGAAGGTCAGAAGAATAAAGGAAATGATCACCAACTAAAGAAGCTCTTGATTTTTAAACAAATTCTCCTTGTCGGCACCTTAGAAAATGTATAGAGAACAGTATGGAGAATATGCATACTGATATTAGCGGGTTAACAGCGCTTCTGTTCCAAGGCTTTCTCAAATGGTTCACTGTTTAAAATTCTGACCTGCTGGTTTTATTTTGATGTTTTCATTTTATTTGCGGTGGTTTATTTCTTGGTATCTCTTAAATGTATGCTAACCCTGCAGGTTCTGTGTCACGCCATTGTAAATCTTCTCCCTGGGGGAGAGTCGGCACAAATTCAGGAACAACATAAGGTAAGAACAAATATCCGCAACATTACTACACCAAGTTTGAGGTAAATATGAGCCCTCTTACTCGTATACTGACCTTATCTATTGGTGGCATTGACATCTATGACATGGTTTGTTTTTGTATCTTGTAGGTTTTGGCGTCAGTTCTTATGTGCCTGTTGGATTGGCTCATGGTGATACCAGTCTCAAAGCTGTTGTCTAAAACAAATGAGGATGACAATGTCACTTTACTTGCAAGAGTATTCCAGGTATGAAGTTTTATCTCTACTCATGTAATCTTTTCCTACCAGATGCACAGAAAGAATACTATGTCCTCCTTTATGCTAGCAGCGCAGAACAGCAACATCTTTCCTTTCTTTAAGGAGAGAAGTAACTGATTTGCGCGTTTCGTTTTGCGAGTGTTTGCTTTAATTTGCTGATTTTTCCCTCAACGTTGGTTTTGAAGTTGACGCGGTCATTTTGCCACTAAATTGAAAAGCTTTCTTATGTGGTTTACTTGTAGGTGTTAAAGATGGCCGCAGCGAACAAGGGACCAAAGAAACGAACCAAGCAACTGAACATATCTACCATCATCAGTGGCGACGGCAGACCGATCAGATTAGCCCGTATACAGGAGGAGAACAGATCATCCAGCGCTGGGCCGAGCAGCCCGGTGGATAGTCTGACAGACATCGGTGGTGACGTACAGGAAGATGGTTGGTCGCTTAAAAATGGTTTATTCTCTACGTTAAATTATCAAGACCAGCAGCTTTCAATCGAATGTCGAAAGTCTTGCGGGATTGCATCGGTTTCGATTTTCTATACCCATTGTTTGTCTAGAAAACCCCTACCACCTTCTCAGTTAATGGGGTGCAGAACACCAGTCGCGACTTGCAACTAGACCATTTCGCTCGTCAGGCCAGTAACGAGTGTGCACTTTGAGCTCCCATTGGCTCTTTATGATTTTACTGCTGGTTGGTCGTTTTGAACACTAAGGTTTTATTTTCGCGGTATTTCATTAAAAAGGACTCTATGCCTCCCCTCCCCTCTTCCAGCCCTTCTTTCCTACTTTTCCTTTTCCAATTATTTCACAGCTGTTGTTATTTTTTAGATCCCGGCGGTCAAGATATGTTTGATTTTCCTCCCAAGTCGGATTCTGTGGAGCTTACAGCCAAAGCAGTAAGTAACATTCGTATTTGTGAACTGTGGCGCGGTATTTTAAAGTGGTCTGTGTTCTGCTCTTCTTTATCGCAAGAAAGTGTGGGCTGCAAGTGTAGAGCGACTGATTGTCGACAGGAGGAAAGTCATTTACATGATTTATATGATTTATATAGGATCAGCAACATGGAAAGTTTACTCTCGGTCGTTTAAGTACGAAAATAGGTGCTACCACTGACACAGCGTTCGTTTTTGACGATAAATTTTCGTTTTAAATTCTAAGTCTTTAAAAAAGAGTTAGTGCACATGCTCTTCCCTAACTCATGCCGTTTGCTCAGTTTTTGGTGCTTTTATGTCATGGCACCCAACCCTTTACACTCTAACATCAGTATCCACATTCTCGTTACTCGCCTCTTTACATTTCCTTTGGCACTGATAAGGAGAATTCGTATAACAATCAAGAGCTTCTTTAGTTGGTGATAATTTTCATTATTTTGTGATTCAGGGGTGATATTGTTATGAGAAATTGGATGCTAGTCAGTCTTTTTGCGTTTATCAAGGTGTTGATGCATATAGTAAACCATATAGGACATTATCCACTCGGTGCCGGCCCATCTAGAGTGGACAGTTTAATCAGCGAACACGAAGATAATCCTAATGTAGACACCGATGAGCTGTCAGCCAGTATATTCAACGCTCCTAATGTACAGGTTAGCTTTTTGTAAGCTTTTTACCAGCATCTATATCAAAATTTTCATCGTTATGCTTATTTTGTTCGTCAGTGTTTTTCACCCTCTGGTTGTTTTATTTTCCATGTCTGAAAGCGTAAACGGACATTTTTACCCACCTCAACATTTTCCAACAGGTTTTTGTTTTAATTTTCAACTAATACCATACATATAAGGGTTGTGAGCAGCAGCGTTAGATTACCTCGCTCAAGATTTTGGTGCTTGATCGAGTTGATAGCACGCTGAAGATTAGTTCATTTGCGCTTTCGGACAGGAAACGTTTCCTCTACCTGTAAATGTAATATATATTTTTCTTCGTTTGTTTCAGTTTTTCGTGCTCAATGACAGCGTTTTGATATCTTTGGTGGAGCTTCCTCTTGAGGTAGGATTTAACTCCAGAAATGAGAATTTCACGCAGGCGCATTTCTAATCCTATGACGTGGCTTTTTATTTCATTTCACAAGGATTCAGTCGCTCAGGAAGTTCCCGCGAGCACCGCAGCCACTCAAGTTCGTGTGATCACGCGTGACATGACAGGGAAAAACGTTTGGGACTACACTTTGTTACACGGATCTTTACAAGGGGAAAATGAAGATTACCAGGCTAGCGGTAAGCCATTGGAATTGCCTTACAGTGTTTTATGCCCTTACCATCCCTGCCAATCAGCTCTTGGATATATTTTTCCTTTTAGTTAAAACACCCGACCTAAGTGATGATATTCCAACGCAAGAAGATGGAAGCCGGGAAGGATCCGACGTTTCATATCATCCGCTTTCTAAATTCAAGAAGTGTTCGACTCCTGTTGCTGAAGATAGACTTGATGATGTAAGTGTTCATGTTCATATTTGGTTTTGGTTTACTTCGCAAAGTGATTGGTCCAGAAAACTCGCGTCACTCTTTCAACCAATTAGATGCAAAACTAAAACCAATCACGATTCGGTCACCCGCGTTTTCCCGCGCTTAAGGCAATTTGGTTGATTTTACTTTGAGTTCTCGTTGGCTCTAAAGGTATCTTCCTTTCTTCTGATCAGCCGTTTTACGACTGCTGTAAATGATTTCCACGCTTTGGTGTCACTTCTCACTCGCCATTTCTCAACAGAAATTTGTACTTCCGCCTTACGTTGTGCTTTTACACTTACTCGTTAAAACGATTTGTTTCTAATTTTCAGTTGTTATGTGGTATCGGGGTGTCCAGCCGTGAGTGTTTGTTGTACCCAGACCACGCTCTAAATGAGCCCGGTCCGTGCCCGGAGAACGTATTAAGTGATATGGAGTATGACGTCATGGACTCTGTGCTTGAACAGGACGCCAGTGTGAAGAAACGAGTTGAGAACGACATGGATGATCCAAGGTTTAATTTCTTTACTTTTTTAGAGTACTTTCTCTTTTTCCAAAATTCTTTAAGTGAAGCCGTTAGTTACTGTGGTTTACCAATGAAATTCTAAAGTGAAATCTCGAAAGCAGGGAAAGTTCGTATCCAGTTGAGGCACAGGAATATTGGAAATAGAGGGGAACAAGAGAAAGGCGCGAAAAGTGTTGCTGTTTGAAATGAGCGAGAAACCAGTGTTTTGTTGGGAAATTATGTCCGTCTTAAAGACTTGAAGACCAATATTTTAGTGGGAGAATTTTCACTGATGCACTAAGCGCAAAACAGTGATTGGCGCACGATAATATTTCATTGTAAGAAGCAAGAAATAGGTGTTGATATTTCCTTGTTAACCTACGTCACGTATCTTTTGTCTCTCATCTTTCTATAAGTCTTTCGTCTCTGGCATCCAGTCCTCCTCCATATGGAATTCCCGTGTCTCCATTCCAGTTGAGCCGGTTTGTGGTCAGTCAAAACGGTATGATGACTTCCGAAAAAAGGTGAGAGAGACCTCAAGCTGCTTGAGTTCTATAGTACGAGGAGTCTCTAACTCTCCCGTGATTGATTTCGTTTCGCAGAACGAAGATTGATCTCCTGAAAAAGACTGACCGTTTCTTGCGTGAGTTGAAGAACTTGGATAACAGACGGTGGTAAGCTCAGTTTTGTAGATCTAAAACAAGCGCTGTAGATCGCAAGGCTATTAATAAGGCTTTTCAATTGCTCAAGTCGGAGAAAAATGAAAACGCAGGAAGTTAGATTGCCGAAAGGTGACAAAGGTAGAAAAAGGACAAGCGCGGGAAAAGGTTGAATGGTAGAAGGGTGCGAAGGCATTAATTCCAGATTGCTGCTAAAGGAATTAGTTTGTCTACAAAGGAAACTAGTATTTTTTTTTTCCAAACTGGTTTCCTCATAATAAGTGTCGCTGATTTGTTTTATCGACAGTCGTGAGACGCATAAAATAGCATTGGTGTACGTGGCGCACGGTCAGGAGGATAAGACGTCTATAATGTCCAACTGTGTGGGAAGTGTGGAGTTTGAGCACTTTGTAGCCGGTCTGGCCTGGGAGGTGAGATATATTTCACAAATTTTACTCATAAATTTGCATCACTCCAAAAAAGGAACCAATTCAAGAGAGTCAGCCAGGTATGCGTCATTCTTCAACCATTGGTATTTGGGGTCAGATGAATTTTATCCTCGAAAATTAAGCAGCAAACTTTTGAGCTTCACCCCAAAAAATAAAAGTTTCATCATGCTCAATTTAACGATTCAAAATATTAGCTTTTAAGAAACCCTCAACCAATCTCTCCCCCCTCCCAATTCCTATCACTAACAGATAAAAGTTGCGAAGAGTAAAAGGCTTACCGAAGTTCAACACACAAAATCTTATTGGTGCAAATGTTATTAAAGTGAGGGAAAAAAAAAGAAGGCTCACTGTTGACAGTATTCAGGTTACAGAATTAACCTCATATTAAACTGTAACATCAAGGGAATTTTGAAGAAGTTTTCATCATTATGCCTACATTATTTTCGGTGCTCTGACTAAAGCATTATGCCCCGGTATATTTTATTTGACCATATTGGTGTAGCACATACAGTTAAGGCTTGTGTGACCTACCACAATGCTTGCATGATTAAACATTTCCCACAAGTGACTTTTGTTTTATATGGACTAGGTTGACTTGTCTAAGCACACGGGATTTTTGGGTGGATTGGAGAAGAATCTTTCGACTGGCACAACAGCACCGTACTACTGCAACTCAACTACCGAAGTCATGTTCCATGTGTCTACTAGAATGCCACTGGCGACTGATAACACTGGATTTAACCGAAAGGTCAGACGACAATTTTATTATCAGTATACATGAGTATATGAATATAGCTTTTCTCGGATACCAAGTTTATGGAAGTTAACAAGATTGATTGCACTTTTCTATAATGGTAAGTTAGGCGTCCGTGCACGATGTTTATCGCGTTGAACTCACTCTTTCGCGAGAGGCAATGATTGGGTCACTTTTGTAAGTCTCTACCCAGGGTAGAAACATGTTTGAAATCAGATAATTTTATCAGTTGGAAGTTGTTATATTAGCACCTTCTCTTTACCAATTTCAAGGGAATTGTACCGCAACTGGAAAGGAGATTTGGGTATCAGATCATATTCTTTTCAGAATTTAGCAATCATCGATGGTTATTTGTGGCGAGTTTAACTAATTGCTTCAAAGTTGTTGGAAAATGTTTGGAATTTCGTTCACGTTGCCTTCGTTTTCTTGTTTGTTTTAGGTTCGCCATATTGGAAATGACGAGGTTCATATTGTTTGGTCAGAACATTACCGTGATTACAGACATGGCATCGTCAATACTGACTTTGCGCATGTCATGATTGTCATTTATCCATTGAGGAACCATTTGTTCAGAATACAAATCATCAAGAAACCCAAGGTTAGAGAGAAAATATTTACGATGTCGGAGTTTCTGTTATCGTGATAAGAATTGCAGCCGGTGTGGTGTGGTTTCTTGCTCCATTTCTGTTTCCCTTCATTAACAGAATTACCGCTTTATGTCGTCTTTAGAGCCTCGATCTAACACCTAGGTTTAGACCACAGGCTGAAGGTCTCGGTTTTGACCACTATTAAGCGTCTTAAAATGTTTAGAAGTTGAATCTAACACTAATTATATATTAGGTTTAGATGTTTGTAGATAAGGAAATTTTCTCGTAAATAGCCCTTTAAAATCGGGAATGAGTTGATAGGATCAAGTATTCTGTGTAAAACTCGGGTTAATGTTTCCCTTGGCACTATTTTTTAAGGTACCTATGTTTGGACCGTTGTTCGACGGTGCTTTGGTGGACAGGAAAGTTTTACCAACCCTTGTGAGAGCGACCGCTATCAACGCCAGCCGAGCAACTAGAGAACTTTTGCCTGTTTATGAGAGATAGTATCCTTTTTTATCAGGAAATCGTGTCTGTTTTGTTAAAAGAATACCGACCCAAAGAGGTTCCAATTTTTCAGCGTAGCAGTCGTCAGATGGGTATGTCAGGCAAGATCAACCTTGTCACACGTCGAGTTGTGCGATGAGGCCAGACAACGACTGTGGGGAAGACTGGGCTTGAGTGTAGTCCTATTTGTTTTGGTATGCAGTGTTTGGTGGAGTGTCCTAGTGTCAAAAGAGTTCTAAATTCATGTTTCTCAGTATAAAGCTTCTCTTTTGAATCTAATTAAAGAAGTTAAAATTGTTCTTACTTTTTCCACGTCTTTCTTTTTCCTTGATTGTTGATCTCAGCTTTGAAGAGCGAGCAGCATGCATTGAGCGAATAGTTAAAAATCACAAAGAACCCACAACTTACGAGGACTTTGCATCTCTGGTGTTCTGTCCCGTCCCGAAACCCCCGGGAAGTGAGCCCCCCACTCCTACTTTATCAGCGGGTGAACGACATCTAATCTTGCGGACGGAGACGGCACCTACTACGAGCAGTTTATCCGACAGCGAGAAGACATCCTTGCGAAATCGATCCAAAAGTGTTGTGACCTCTCCAAGATTGTTCAACAACAAATTAGGTGAGTTTTCCTTTCATTTATTCAATTTTTTTTTCATTTTGTCATGCATATATTTTTGTTTTAATCGTTTTTATTTTAGAGATTTATCAGAGCGTATTTAATTTTGAATGGTCCAATATATACAGCCAGGGTGCGTGTCTGGAGTCTGGAGTCTGGAGTCTGGAGTCTGGAGTCTGGAGTCTGGAGTCTGGAGTCTGGATTCAAAGCCCGGTCGAGCCATCGTTTAACGTCCCTGGGGAAGATACGTCACTCTTAAAGTGCCTCTCTCCCCTCCGATACTGCCAGAAATCCCTGATTAAATCCTCCCTTTGGGGGGGGGGGGGGGGGGGGGGGGGAAGAGATATGCGATGACCCAAAGGTATATAAGTCTCTAATTTGTTTGAAAATGGAGGTCATAGTTCAGTTTAAGAATTCGTCATCCTCTTGAGGACAGTGTTGAAGTAGTGTAGTAAAATGTGGTGGGGAAAGTCTTTGTATTGGGAATGGGTAGGGTGACGTGGGGTGAACAATGGGTAAACTTTACATCGGGTTAGGAGAGGGGGTTGGGTAGGAGGTGGGTTGAATACGGCGATTGTGTATCAGTAGACTGATCTTAGTGTCTATAGGGCAGTTGTAACTTGGCCAGGAATATTTGATGGAATTTTGGTGTTGACAGTAGAGTTCTTTGTTTGCTTTTTTCCGCAGTCGTGGAAGAGGAATTCGCATCGTTAACTTCGTCTCTCCCAGACGGTCTTGATAACGTGACAGGTGGCCAGGCAGGTACTGACGGAACGAATCCTCGGCAAGACAGAAAGAGACTATCACTGCGATGGAGAAATAAACTGGCAAGTCAAAGTGCCACTGGAAACGCAGCTGATAGCGAGTAAACTTGGTCAAAGAAAACCTATTTTATTGGACTGTAATTTTGTGATTTAATTCTGGGAAAGTTAATTAAGAAATTTAAGATAAGTTTCATGAGGTTTCTGTGTTGGTACTCACTCAAAAATGGCCACTATTCATCCGCCGTCAGTTAAATTGGGTGTTAGAAACTAGACCGAAGAACATTAATTTTGAACTGTTCCAAGCAGCCTGTTTGTGGGGACAAGTGAGAATCTGGGGCGAACGAAAGAAATATCGAATGGGAACTTCTTCCCAGACCACTGACGATTTTCGCTCGCTCGCTTTTCGTTCGTCTCTCCTGACCGAGACCCTGGAATTGGTTAAATGTTGTTGAGATATGGAGATAAAAAGAAATCACATTAGGCCACGAAAAAGGCAAGAACGACTCACAGACTTGTGTACATGAGATCATGCACTATATTCGCATGTAGGTGTCCCTTTTTTTCATTGTAACTGAACCCTCTCTAAGAGACAGAATCCCAAGTGCAATTCCAAATTTTTCATGTTTCTCCCTCGTACAAATTATACCGAAGGGTACTTTCAATATGGTTAGTCATTGCATAATAATGAATTTGAATGTGTGATTGCCTGCACCGCAAAACACTCAAGTTTCAATTAAGCCAGCACAACGTCAGTATCTTAGCAACTGCTCACCTACCCCTCCCCTAACCCAACACTTACCCAAAATTTGAATCAGTTGACTGTTGTTGTAATAGGGGAGGGGTTCGTGCGTAGTCGCTCAGATGCTGACATTGATCCCGTTTTTCTCGTAATTTTCTTAGCAATCATTATTTGGCAATTTTTTGGAATAATATGTGTAAGATTATTTTTTAAACTTTCGTGTATTAAGAGAAACCTGGAGACTGCTTTGTAATAATTAAGGTTACCATATAGTGTCTATATTTTATAACAGAGAATTGTACATACAAAATGATTCATTGAAAACATTCTCAAGTTTCTCAGTAAATTATTGGACGAATAACGCCTGCTCCTAATGTAGCTGGAATGGTTAAAAATTCATTAAAAAAGTGTTACGCACTTGCGTATGTTTTTGTTGCTTTTTCCATTTTCAGTGAAATATTTCACGTCCTCGAGAGCTTTGTGAGCGGGTTAAAACTCGCGCCCACTTTCTCAGACAATCAGAAATAAACAGCAAACCAAGGCGCGATTGGCAAACTTGCGATTTCTCGCACTGGATAATTGCGCTCAATCAATGAGCAGTTGACTTTGTTCCGAGCAACACTCTCTTACCTCAAGTTAACACTTTCCTGAGAGCATGTCACCACACGAGACTGACCTGCGATGATGTCAGTATGAGACGCTAATAATCAATCGCACAGTTGATCAAGAATGAAAGCTTGCAAATGACAAAAGGCTTACAGTTAATTAAGAGGCGCTTTAGACTTAATGTGACTTCTTGGATAGTTTTCCATATCACTTGATTTTTTTTCAGTTGTAAATTATGCCAAATGATATCTCAATTCCACTACCTTCAAAAATCAATTCTTTTGAAATTCTTACCGCCGAAGAAAGCCGTGCGTTAACACAATGGAGAAAATGCAAATCCTTCTTGTAATTACCCTGAAGCAATATGGTTATTTATTCAGTAATTAAATCCGCGAACCGTCGATTTGATATTGTTAAATTCTTGTAGACGCGTTTCGACGCATTCGTTATGTCACATTTTCACTCTCGATTATTCTGACAACTGCGAAAGAACGATGGCGTTGAAAAGCAAATATGCGGACGTATCAATCCCTGAAACCTTATCTTGGCCGGATTTTGTGTTTAGAGACTTCGAGAAGTATGGGAATCAAACAGCTATCGTAAGTCGTTCAACGAGGAATAAATTTATCCTCGGTAATAACTATAGAGCTATTTTTATCTTTCAACTTTAATCTCGGTGTTCGTGACTTCGTCTTTTATTCCACACAGGTATTCTGAGCGGCAGAAGAGCCACTAAACATATTACACAAACAGATAAATGTGTGAACTTAATTATGTCAAAGAAAGAACTGTCCTTTATGATTCATTCACTAAATGGACCGACAAATTTATCTGTTTCGTTTATTTGTATTTCAAACATGTTTCTACTTAGGGAAAATTCAGTTTCGAGTTCCATTTTCGACTATGGTCATCTTTTTTAATCAATTACCCAGAAACGCGGAAGTTAACTTCATAATAAATAAAACAAAATAAAACGACATTGAAATTTCAGCGAAAATCACTCATCAACACATCGAGTCCATGAGGTCACGAAGAAGCCAAAACGTGTTTACTCCGTCACGTTCCAATCGAAACTTAAGGGTTTGTATATCAAATTTTTGTCGATCACTGTTCAGATTTCAATAACTTGGTGAGTTTCGGAAATTTACCTTTCTTGGTACGAAGTGTGCAGAGAGAGGCCACTGTACAAATGCTGAACTACTAACACTCACAACAGAGTAAAAGGTGCCCTTTGTTTATTAACAATATTTAGTATGGATTCTTCAAGATCTAAGCACAGGATATACTGACGCATAAACGAGGCTTGTAAATAAAGCGTCATCATCAGTTTTCAGTTATTGAATGTAATCACGCAAGTTTGACACCAATACCCATAAAACTACTTAACAGAAGTTCTCGAACTGATAAAAGATGTATTTTTTATGAAGATGCCGCTTTTGTTTGAGGGCTTTTTCATGCATAACAGGGCCAGCAGGAGACACGTTCTCTCATCGTGAAACTGTAAAACTTTTCTCTCGATCGATCGACTGTAATGAGTATTATATTGGTGACGTATCCTAAGTTGACAATCTAGTAGCAAAGTAGAATTTCCACAGGATATCTAACCTGACCACGAAATCAAGGAGGGACTGTTTAAATTGAAAGCACTGATGGAGGGTGCTTTCGAAAATGGGTTTAGTTTAGTTGGGTTTAGTGTATACAGTACCTTAAGATTGCTCAATAAATCAGCCAACCATTCTTTGAGTAGCGAGGTATCAAAAGCGTTTGTTGTTGAGGGTGGTTATATTAATAATTACAACAATGTTAATAATTGCAATGTTAAAACAATTCTTGATCCCAGGAGAGATCTACTTTTCACGATTAGGAGAGAAGCAAAACTGTTCCCCCATTCCACTCCAGCTAAGAACTCGCCAATCATTTGTACTTTTCCCGATCTGAAAACTCGCTCTTTCTTTTCCATCATTCTTGATATTTTTCTCGTAGATATGCGGCGCAACCAAACGCGAATACACGTTTTCACAAGTAAGGGATTTGAGCAGAAGAGTCGCCTCGGCTTTAAGCAAAAGAGGACTTCGCAAGGGAAATGTGGTTGCCCTGTTTGCTCCGAATGTTCCTGAATTTCCCATTGTATTCCTTGGAGCTCTTCAAATTGGTGCGGTCGTGACCGGTGTCAATCCATTCTTCACAACCGAAGAACTGACCAATCAGCTCGAAGCAGCTGACGCAGTATGTATCATCACTGTTCACCAGTTGGAACATCGGGCAAAAGAAGCCGCGAAGAAACTGGGTATAGACCACATGTTTGTTCTTGGAGATGACGTTGAAGATGGGTATGACTTGGTCTCAATCCTTTTCAATGATGACGGGTCGAGTTTGCCGCACGTCACGTTTAACCCAAAAGAGGATTTAGCAATTCTTCCGTATTCCAGTGGGACTAGCGGTCTTCCGAAATGCGCCATGGTAACACATTATAACTTGGTTGCTCTGGGCTGCATTGCGACTGCACAAGGCTTTATGGATTTTAAACAAATTACTACAGAGCAAAAGAATTCTACTACTCTAGCTTTTGTTCCATTTCACCGCCCTTTCGGCCTAATAGCTGTTCTGTCTCTCAGTTTACAACAAGGAAGTTGCTTAGTTTCAGTGCCAAGATTCGAACAAAACAGAATATTTAATCTTTTGCAGGATTACAAGGTAAAGCATTTTTTCGGTTTTGAGACTTTTTAATACAATCGTAGCTGTGAGTGGGTAAAAAGATTTTCCACTTTCCTCTTTCAATTGGATCTTATCAGTGACTCAGCCTAATTTCCAAGTCTGGGAAGATTGAGTGGGTAAAAACGTTGTTGTCGCCGAGAGACGTTCCCTAAATTATTTCACGGCAAACGTCACGGCTCGGTATTTACTGAGCGAGGCCTGAAGGGGTTTAAGTTTAATTTGCCACCCCAACAAGCTCGCCACCACCGAGAGTCAAATCGCCACCGGTGGCGATTTGACTTCAACGTTATGTGTAGCCAGTTGTATGAATCAAAGGAAAGCTAAGATACAATAGTATATTGCGAAAAGGGAAAGGGACTCATAAATTATGTGTAGCCTCTCAATTATTGCACGTTAACCCTTAAATGCCACATGAAATATCCATCACATTGTAATACCGTAGACGCACCTTAAAGCCGCACGTCAGGGAAACACCGCCGACATGCAATTTATTATTCTAATACACTGTGTTTGTGCGCATTTTTAATTTCGGATCATTAAAACCAAATTAAACTTTAAGGTCTAACCTTTCATATTACATAAGTTTCATTAGATTTGATTACGAAATGCGTTCATAAGAAAGAAACTCGTGTTACAGGTTGCGTCCACATTCTATGTGATTAACACAAAGGAAGGAAGTCAAGTCCGTTTCTGTAAACTTCGCTGTGTTTGTCGCAATATACTACTGCACCTTAGCTTTCATTTGCTGTAAATTCATGCGGTTTAATTCGCATCGGCGGAAAATCACCTTGGTTTCGCTTTCCGCAAACTGATCATAATCTTCGGGATATCAACATGTTTTATTGCATTTAACGGTTCACGTTCTATAATTGAGAGGTTACACATAACTTCTGAGTCCTTTTCCCTTTTCGCAATATACTACTACATCTTATCTTTCCTTTGATGTAAGTTACAAACGACAGGCAACACAAATCACCTCAGGTGGCGATTTGACTCTCAGTGGTGGCGAGTTTTGTGGTGGCGAATTGAGCGGATACCCTTGAAGGTTTAGACAGTTCCAGGCCTTCCGCTCCCGATTCCTGCCGGGGCCATTGTTCGTCAAATAAAAGCATCCCCACACACATCTTTTCTTTTTTTCTAACAGGTGACACTTCTCGTAACCGAGGCGTCAGTAGTGCATCTCCTTTCCATCCATCCAGCAGTAAATAACACCGATTTGTCGTCGCTAGCAGAGGTGATATCCACCTCGTCATTACTAAGCAAAGAAACGTCCAAAAGTGTCAGGAAACGATTACCTCACCTCAAAAGAATCAATCAGTGTAAGTGAAACAGCTCCTTGGCCTTAAACAATATTAAACTGGTCCATATCCAGAGTTGTAAGACCGTCCATTAATAAACAAAAGTTTGATCTGTGGAAAAGGCGTACTAACGATAAATCTTGGGTAAGGACTGAGAATACAGTTTTTATGATGTGGTCGCAAAGACAAGCAGTAGCATTCCTAGGCCTCTAACCGATGCCCGAAAAGCTGCAGAATTTTTTATTGCATAGATATTTTCAGAGAGAGGGAAACAGTGGCATGGTGCTGTAATATGAGTAATAAATTGATTGTCCTTTTCATAGGGCTACTGCGTTCCACCAAATTCTCAGATTGCGTTTCAATTAGTCAAGAAGTGAATTTAAGGATAATTGATAAATGAATGTATTGAAATGAAACATAAAACAATGTTTCAGGTTACGGCATGACAGAAAACACAGCACTGAGTCACATGACTCCCTCGCTGGAGGAGAGGCATGGTTCTGTTGGAGTATTACTTCCCAATCTCGAATGTAAGGTAAAGGACTTGCTTAAGGCACCGATCATTTTTCACTGATCATTACTTATTACCTTGTGGGGTTCGGAAGACTTTGCTTGTGTCACATTAAAATTAACCCGATCCCTCCATAAGGCTCTGCAACATTCTTAGGATTCTTCACCCCCCCCCCCCCCCCCCCCTCCTAAACTTGGCAGTCCCCCTCCTAAACTTGGCAGTCCCCCTCCTAAACTTAGCAGTCAAATTTTTATAATACTCCAATTATGGCCTTCAATTATGATTGGTTCCTTACGTGGTACGGAAAGCAGGCTAACAGCTGTGTACTCATCTTATTTTATCATTGTTTGTTATATCAAGTAACAATAATTTTTTTGAGTTAAGGTGTGCGATGTATCGACTGGCCAGGTTCTTGGGGCTGGTGAACGAGGAGAGATTTGTGTCAAAGGTCCGACAATGATGAAAGGTTAGTTGCATCATGCTGTTACAGCGTTGAAGTGGAATTACTCATTTAAAAGATAATTTTACCACGTATTTTGATTTAATGTTTTGGAAACCAAGGAAAAGTTATTACATCTTAAGAGGAGCCAATGGGAAATGCGAGTTACCTAGTCGCCACGTCTTTAAAACTCGCACTACCCCATCAAATAATTGGACCAATTACAAAGGGAAAGGAAATGAGACGAGGGCCATTTCGAATTTCTTTAGAAAGCCAATAATAAATGACTTTCTTGGCTGATTGACAGGTTATCTGAACGACCGAGACGCTTCACAACAAATTATTGACGGCGAAGGCTGGCTTCACACGGGAGATTTGGGTTACTATGACCAAGATGAACATTTCTTCATCGTGGACAAACTCAAGGATTTGATCAAGTTCAGAGGAGATCAGGTCGGTTTTCTTAATTCATGTCAGTCAGGGAATATCGTCAAACATGTGTAACGTAGGAAATTGTGGGCGTGACCCCCTTAAGTGTACACGCAATGCATTGAAAAATACTTGGTACAGTAGAAAGCATTGTATTTGAAACGTAGCCGATAAGAATTTTGTAATTGGAGAACGGGCACGAATGGATAGTGCTTCAGCTTGCCTGGTACGTGAGCTGTTCGTGTCCTCGTAGAGATTCCGCTACGTTTGCTCTTTGTTTTTGATTTGCCGTAGTTTATTGAAATTTTTTAAACTGATTTGTCTCTCTCGACTTATTGCCCAACACAGTATCTTACAATAAATGAATGAATATAGAGAACCTGAATTTGTAAGCGCTCTTCTTTTCAATCAGGTGTCTCCTTCAGAGCTCGAAGTTCTCCTCAAGACCCACCCGGCCGTATTTGACGCAGCTGTTATTGGGTTCCCAGACCCTGAAGTTGGAGAATTGCCTACAGCTTTCGTTGTGAGTATGAACGAAGAAGATTTGACTGAAATGGAAGTTATTCAATACGTGGACGAGAATGCAGCAACTCACAAAAAACTTCGAGGAGGTGTAGTGTTTATTAATTCGATTCCCAGGTCTGAGGAAGGAGAAATCCTTCGAACAGAATTAAGAGACAAAATGATTCAAGGAAAGTACAAACCAGTACAGATGAGAAGAGGGTCGCTTTTTGGAACCGAGGAAAACAAAAGATTTTCTATAATGAGAAACTCTTTACCGATGACTAGGAATTTACCACGAAACAATGAAACAATTCTGGAGGAAGAATCCGATCAATTGCAAGTTCCAAGATCAAAAAGCTGTGTTATATTATGAAAGGAACTCGTGCCCTCTTACATGAATAACAGATAATGCCGCTGGATGGTGTTAATGCATTGATCATAAAGGCTTCATTTGGCCGCGGTTTCTACTTCAGGAATAAGGAAAAGCCTTTAAATGTCATTCATTGGATTAAAATTTTTCCCTGAAGTTCACAGGTTCCCATTTATACTGTGACTGCTCTTTCTTTAAGGATTTAGTCTGCTTATCTTTGTTTGTTGTAAATACCTTGCCGTATTTACAAGCTTCACGAATGGCGAAGTGCCACTTGCCTTTCATATCGAGAATGTTAATTTATAACATTTTAAAAAGAAAATAATATGCCTGAGGCAAATTTGACAAAGCATGTAAAAAGAGTTGTGTATGTAAAATTAAGCGAAGGAAAGTGTAATAGTAAAATAAATCCTACATTCTCCTTTTCGGGTCTTTTTGATTTGTCAGTTTTTTCTGAGTTCAAAATATGAATTGATTTAGCGAGGGATGACTTCACTGCAATGAATCATTGGTGCAACGTCAAACCTGCAAAATAATCATTAAGGTATACTAACGAAATATCCGCTTATTGGGCTCATCAAGCTGTCGAAATTTATCTGATTGTGTCAAACTGATGATTTTCCCAAAAATCCTTTATTCACATTCAGATAAATTAGAAACTATATAGTTTTAGGAAATTTTTTAGATTCCGTGCTGCCGTGCGTCTGTTCAGAAATAGATCACAGATTCGTAAATAAAGTCTGGAAAAATGTGATAAGAGAAAAAAAGACGAGGAGCAGCCGAGTGTGCCCATCACGTTCGTACTACACTTTGACGTCTTTTGGGATTTATTTCTGAGCAGACGCACAGCAACATGTATTTGTTTTATATGATAAAAAAGCAAAATGTTGTTGGTGGCGACTTCATCTGTACATTTGTCCTACAATAGATCACAAGTTAGAACCGATCAAAATGTACGGATAATTGAGGTTATCTTATATAACTGGCAAAAGCTAATAAGTGATTCTCACAATAGCTTGAAATTTTTGCAGGATGTATAGCAGCGTGATAAGATCATTTATAGTATTTGAATGATATCAAATAAGACCCTTAATGGCATGTTGAGTTACTCGTAACTGCCAGTTTCTCGTTTAATTGAGGAGATAAAAGCGTGGGGCGAATGAAAGGCTGAAATATGTTTTGTGGGTGAGTGTGTGGGTGGGTTATACGCTACAGTTAAACCTCGATTATCCGGAGACGAACTAATTTACGTCATCATGTTAGGTCCCGAAGCGAAAGTTCTCTAAATTTGTCGCTGAGCTGAAGAGCCTGACCTTGCAGCGAGTTGTATTATCCCCAACGAAATATTTCATTCTCAAAAGCGGGGAGCTACTCCTTGAAAGAGAGAGACACTTTCGAGAGAAACGCAACGAGCAGATAGCATTAGTGTAAGGATCGGAAAAGGAAGCTGCACGAATGTATGGTTACTGAACTTTAGAAATTTAATTGACCGTAAACCACCTTGAGGAGTTAACATTACAAAAAAGGCAACGATCTTTACGTAACATAAAACATAACAGACAAATGGTTGGTCTATTTATCATTTTACAGTCTATTAATAACAGGTAATAAAGCCACAGGTCGTCAATGACCTTGGAATTTAACATAACAAAGCATACTCGAGTTCCTGGGAATGGAAATAAAAGGCGGCAAATAGTCGGCCGATTTTCTGCCTTCTACAACCTGTTAGAAGTTAATGGCTTTTATTAGCTCAGTGATTTCAACGAAAAACAGCCCGGGAGGTTCGAAAATTTTAGAGTTTTAGACAAAAACAGGCTAATTTCTTTTGTTTTTGTGATGGAGCACAACGCGACGGAGGCTTTGGTCAAACGCTTTCCACTTTTATCGTACTATCAAAAGTAAATACTATAGAGCAGCTTCAATAGATTGACACTTGTCAAAAGCAAAACGAGCCGATTCAAAGTCGTTTTAAGTTGTTATTATGCACTTTCACACAACTGGCAATAGATTACGAGATGTTTTAACAACGTAAACAACTTAAAATTTTTGCGGGTTATTTAATAGAGTGGCCTGCTCGTTAAATCATTCATAGTCGTTGGGCAATATCAAATAAGCCCATTGGTGGCATGTAAGGCTACACGTAATCCTCCAGTTTATCCTTTAATTAAGAAGAAAAAGACGTGAAGCGAGTGAAAGTTTCGAGGTATTAAATTAAGAGGAAATAGGGGTGGTCCACCCCTGAAGAAGGCACTAGACAGGAGTGTCTAAATGTTGGGTCTATGAATTATAACTTCTTCGGTTACATTCATTAAATCTATAAACCAAAGTAGCATCAAATCATGTCTTATTGTCCACCTGTTTGCCATGTGAACTTTAATATAAAGCTAGCTCATTTTTACAGATGACAAAAATTGTGGTTAAAATGTCATCCCTTGTTGAAGATATCTCAACCCTAAGCCTTTACCCCTTCCATCCAAAATCGTAACTGAAATAAAGTTCTCTAGCTGTAATTACAATTAAACTTAATTGGTTAGCTGATACCTTGATATGCGGTATCGTACAGAATATATTTTGCTTTTTTTGTTTCGTAAACGTGAATTGTCGAAGAAGAAACAAAACAACACATTCACAGCTAATATGCCAGTCCAAGCGAATATCTATCTATCCAAACACAAAAACGAGTCACTTTACTTTCATCCAATATAACAGAATTAAAAGTTAAAGAGTTTGATAAACGAAATGTTTTAAAGTTCATTTCTAAATTCCGGCATTTATCAACATGGTTAACATCGAGCTTCAGTCGTTAAATAGAGAACATGTAACTACACATACTTTTATAGATATTTGATGATCAGCGCTGGATAGTGCCAGAAATGGACAAAAGCAAATGCAATCTCCATGCAGTTACTCATTACAACCTCCAGATTGAGGCGGTCGTGATTTCGGTCGATGAAACTTCAGCAAAAGAGCTCTAAGAGGAGCAAAGTAATAGATGTTATCATTGGAGACTTTTCTGAAGATCTGAAAAAACAACTGAAAGCAAAAGTCCCAGATGACCCAGTTGGAACAATGAGCTGATACTCACTTGTCCAAATAGCGACTGGTGCAAAATATGCTTAATTATATAATTAACAAGGAATATTGATGTTACAGACGGTTTGACAAATGATGCAGAATTTATTTCAGAAAACATAGATTATAAGATTGAGAACTCCATCAGACTATACAATTATACTAATACCTTTCCCTAATCCAGGCTTTGACTGAAAACAACGCCAAGAAAACTACCATCTTTGTATCTCAAAACGAAAATTATTGCGGGCACCAATTTTAGAGGTAAAAAGACAATTCAGAATTAACAAGAAAATCCAAGTACAAATTTTTCGTTAACAATTTTCATTAAGACCTGCAGCGACCGGCAAAAAATATTCACGCCGTCAAGGTGGAACTTTAGATTCATCTGTTGTTGATTTCCCATCTTAAACAAAGAAGCTTATGCATCATGTTGGCTCAAGAAACGAACGTAATTAACCAGAGATGGAGCTTAACTTTCAGCCTGCATGTCGCTGATAAAGCTTTGCATTACTCCTTCAAACGACACATTAACATTTTGTAATTAACAGTAAGTATTTTTGGCAGTTTGATACGCGCAACCATCGAAATGCTATTTATCGAAAATCAACTTGAAGGGTAAACATAACAAATCAAAGGCTCTTAAGAGCTAACTCATTTTCACAGATGACAAAAATTGTAGTTAAAATGTAATCCCTCGTTGAAGATATTTTAACCGTAACCCTTTACCCCTTCCATCCAAAATCCTAACTGAAATAAAGTTCTTTAGCTGTAATTACAAATAAACTTAATTGGTTGGCTGATACCTTGATATAGAACGCTCTATCCAAACACAAAAACGATTCACTTTACTTTCATCCAATTTGACAGAATTAAAAGTTAACGAGCTTGATAAACGAAACGTTTTGAAGTGCATTTCTAAATTCATTTATCAACATGCTTAACTTTGAGCTCTAGTCATTAAATACAAAATATGCAACCACACATACTTTTATAAATTAATGATCAGCGCTGGATAGTGCCAGAAATGGACAAAAGCAAATGCAATCTTCATGCAGTTACTACAACCTCCAGATCGAGACGGTCGTGATTTCGGTCGATGAAACTTCAGCAAAAGGGCTCTAAGAGGGGCAAAGCAATAGATGTTATCATTAGAGACCTTTCTGATGATCTGAAAAACAACTGAAAGCAAAAGTCCAAGATGACCCAATTGAAACAATGAGGCGATACTCACTTTTCGAAATAGCGACTGGTGCAAAATATGATTAATTAACGCGAAATATTGATGTTACAGACGGTTTGACAAATGATGCGGAATTTATTTAAGAAAACAGGAACGATGACTTACGTAAAATAAAAGATATACAGTCAAGTGGTCGGCTGAATTATCAGTATAGAATTTGTTAATAAAAGATAGTGACCTTGAATATTTTTAACATGATCATGACGAGACAAAAGATTAATCAGATAGTTAAGTTCAAAGAAACCAAAGTTAAAGGCGGCAAACGGTTGGCTGATTTATAAATCATTCTCTAAAATGTCAATAACAGATGAAGAAAGCCACTGATCGTCAATGAACTTGAAGATTTAGCATAAAAATAAAAAAAAATAAAGTCGGCAAACGATCGGCCGCTTCTCCGCCTTCTATAATCTATTAGTAGTTAATAGCTATCACTGCCGGTTCAGTGATTTCAACGAAAAACAGCCGCTGGAGGTTCGAAAGTTAGACAAAAACAAGCTAATTTCTTTTGTTTTCTTTAAACTAGAATCTCAATATTGCAGAAAGAAAAGGGATTATAAAGGCAGTTTCCTCGCTATTTGCAATTTTGTGTTTTCTTTCTCTATCTCAAATTTGGTCCTTGAATTTTTTCCATCAACAGGGACTAAGAAAAGGGGCACAGATATGTTTAACGATCCAGCAAATCTTAGGGAAATTCCACTCGGAAGGAAACTCGATAAATGTTACTCGAAAGATCCCTATTCTATTTTCCGCAAAGCCTTTCGCAATAGAATAGAACTTCACCGAGATCGGTATCTGAGCATGCGTAGACTTTCGAATCAATCGCCTTTTGACAATCTTTCGCACGGTGTTTTCTTTTCGGTTGACCTCTTTTTGAGGCGTAGAAGGCCTATGAATATTACGAATATAGTTGCTGGAAACCCTAGATTCCATCACATAAAAACTGTTTTTTAACACACCTTTTCAGTTAACAATCGTGCGATCGTATCGAGCCACCATGTTTGTGTTGCATGTTGATACTTTTAAAATTTGTACTGTATTTGCACCCAGATCTCGCACGTTCAAAAAACCCTATGGAGCCTCCTTAAATTAAGCAAAAGCTCTAATTAAATTAATCGCTCAAATCATAATGTTTTTGTTTTTTGGCCTGGAGTCTTATTATCGGCCAAAGAAGTGAGTCTAACTAATTAGCCCGACTTTAAAGCGACCTACATTATCTCCAACGAAAGATAATTCTCAAAGGCGGGGTTTATTCCTTGAAAATAGGATACACCGTCGAGACAAATGCAACGAGCAAACAGCATTAGTGTAAGGTTCCGAACGAAAAGGGAAGCAATATTAACGCATGGTTACTAAACTTTGGAAACTTCATTGACCGCAAATGATCTTAAAGAGTTAACATAACAAAAGAGGGAATGATCACTTTCGTAAAATAAAAGAGATACAGACAAATGGTCTACCGAGTTGTCATTCTGGAATCTGTTAATAACAAATAAATCAAGCCACTGATCGTCTATGACTTTGAGGATTTAACATAGCATTAAAAGTCGGCAAATGGTTGGGTGATTTGTCATTCTATAATCTGTTAAAAACAGATTAATAGAGCCACTACGTTAATGACATAGAAGATTGAAAATGAATAAAGCCAAATGATCTGATCGTCTATAAAAGATTTTGAGTTGTCATTCTGGAATCTGTTTATAACAAATGAATAAAGCCACTGATCGTCTATGATTTTGAGGATTTAACATAACAATAAAACTCGGAAATTTGTTGGGTGATTTATCATTCTATAATCTGTTAAAAACAGATAGATAGCCACTGACGTTAACGACAGAAAAGATTTAACATCATGAAATAAAAGGCGGCAAACGGGCGATCGATTTTTCCGCATTTAGAATCTTCTAGTAGTTAAAAGCATTCATAGGTTCAGTGATTTTTATGAAAAACAGCCCTGGGAGGTCAAAAAGTTTTAGATTCTTAAAGACTGGTCAATTTCTTTTGGCTATAGGTTTCCTCTCAACCAGAATCACAATAATGGAACGCAAGCGACAGAAGCTTTAGTCTAACGTTTTTTATTTGTATCATACTATCAAAACTAAACATTGGATAGAAATTAAAGCGATAAGATAACCCCTTATAGTCGTTCTCAGATTGAAACATATTTCTGATTACATTTCAATTTAAGACGATTATGTGATTGTTATCAACTGCCTTTAACAAGAATATAAACAGCAATTTTATAAGAATAAGAAATACCAAACTTGTCGATTACGAATCCAGCAGGGCACAGATATGTTTAACGATCCTGCAAAGCTTAGGAATTCCACCCGAAAGGAATCGCGATAAATCTTACTCGAAAGATCCATATTTTATTTTTCGTAAAACATTTCGTGATGGAATAGAACTTCGCCAAGATCGTTATCTGAGCATGAGTAGACTTTCGAATCAGTCGCCTTTTGGCAATCTTTCCCACGGTGTTTTCTCTTCGGTTGACCTCTTTTTTAGACGTAGAAAGCCTATGAATATTACGGGTGTAGTTTCTGGAAACCCTAGATTACATCACATAAAAACTGTGTTTAACACACCTTTTCAGTTGACAATCGTGCGATTATATCGAGCCACCATGTTTGTTTGCATGTTGATACTTTTAAAGCTCGTGCTATATTTGCACCCAGATCTTGCACGTTCAAAAAACCCCATGGAGCATTCTTAAATTAAGCAAAGCTTTAATTAAATTAATCGCTCAAATCATAATGTTTTTGTTTTTTGGCCTGGAGTCTTATTATCGGCTAAAAAAGTGAGTGTAACTGGTCAGCCCGACTTTACTCTATTATTATTACTATCTCTAACGAAAGATAGGTCTTAAAGGTGGGGCTTATTCCTTGAAAATAGGAGACACTGTCGAGACAAATGCAAAGAGCAAACAGCATTAGTGTAAGGTTCGGAACGCAAAGGGAAGCAGTATGAACGAATGGTTATGAAAATTTAGAAATTTCATTAACCGCAAATGATCCTAATTAAAGAGTTAACATAACAAAAGAGGAAATGATCACGTTCGCAAAATAAAAGATATGCAGACAAATGGTCTTCCGAGTTGTCATTCTGGAATCTGTTAATAACAAATGAATAAAGCCACTGATCGTCTATGACTTTGAGGATTTGACATAACAATAAAAGTCGGCAAACGGTTGGGTGATTTATTATTCTATAATCTTTGAAAAACAAATTGATAAAGCCACCGACGTTAATGACATAGAAGATTTAACATCATGAAATAGAAGGCGGCAAACGGTTGGGTGATTTATCATTCTATAATCTGTTAAAAACAGATAGATAAAGCCACTGATCGTCAATCACCTTGAAGATTTAACAGCATGAACTAAAAGGCGGCAGAAGCTTTGATCTAACGGTTTTTTATTGCATCGAACTATCAAAACGAAACATTGGATAGAAATTAAAGCTATAAAATAAATTCGACTAATCGTTCTCAGATCGAAACATGTTTCTGATTGCATTTGAAATTTAAGGCGATTATTCACTATATAATTCCTGACACGATTTTGAGTCAACGAACGGTATCAAGACCTTCATCAAAAGCAAAACGAGTCTATTCGAAGCTGTTTTAAGTCGTTAGCATGCATTAAGTCAGCGGCATATTGAGTTACTCGCGATCGTAATCACCAGTTTCTCGTTTCATTAAGAGGGGAAAAAGTTGAGGTGAATAAAAACCTCCAGAGTTTTTGTTTTTTCCAGGAGGAGAGAGTGAAATATGTTTTGTGGATGAGTGGATGGTTTCGTGCTAATTATATTTTGACTTAAAGGAAAGGCTTTCTATATTTAGCGTTACAATAATGTTTTTTTTTTGCCTGGGGTTTTATTCTAATCACGTTTTGAGTCCCTAGCACGCACTAAGACACAACTAGCAATGGCTATCAAGAGATTCTGACAACTAATGTAGCTGCATAGTAGGGGGTGCCATTTAAGAATTATTAATCAAAAAGTAAACGCACCTTTTTTCCTTCACTTTAGTCGACTCGCCAGCTCATTATAATATACTATTTCACACTAGGCTGAGTTTCTAAGCTTTTGCGTCAACTGATGCCTTGGTGCATGAAAAGAGATGCTTCCAAATTTGGAAAGGGTGTTTATTATAACTGGGAGCTTATCGAGCAAATATAATCATTACTTGGCCGAGTTCATACAGTTTGTGTCTACTAAAGCCTTTCCAAAGGTAAGTTCAGTCTAAAAATTCCAATTTGTTTATGGTTTTAAGATGGGAATGTCCCTTAGCCCTTCGTAAGTCGTCTGTGCGAGGAATATTTTCCAATACATATGCATAATACTATTCCAGTACATACAGTCAATCGTCTGCAGCATTTCACAAAATGGATGTTAACATGGCAACTGGAGCGTAATGCAGCAATTCTCAAACGATCGCTAAGAGAAGAGATCTTATTACAGCAGACACATTGCTTGCTTTCCCAGCTCGGGTATTACATTTAAAAGAGAAAACTAGTAGCAAGCTCAGTTTCTGGTGTAAGGTTTCGTCTAGAAAGCCATTTTGATTTCGTGTAGAAATCGTTCTAAACAATCACAATTCCTTCCACAGTATCTCTCAGATATTCCCAAAATCATGACTCTTCTTGAGGTGAAAATTCTTTTGTCCTGTGTTTTTCTGATATACACCAACGTGGAAGCGGCTCGATCGCCAAAGGTAAGACAAGTGCAAAAACTGTTCATAATTTTGTGAAACTCAATGATAAAGCGTCAGATTGCGGAAACAGAACGTTCAGGATTCGATTCCTCGTTGGAGGTTATATTTTTTTCTCTGTGCGTCACTCTTAAGAAGTAAATAGTCATATTTTTCATTGACAATCCAGCTTTTATTTTATCACCTTTCTTTAATAACTTATGTCCTTCATTCACTTCATTAAGAGGACATTAACTATTGATTTCAGGCATTGTTATCTGTTTCAACCATTCTATCACAGACGGTTTTTGCTATCTGTCATAATCAAGTTCTACATTTGTTTCAAAAATAATTGACTTATCTAAATCTTTTTCAAAGGAGGATTTGAAATCTTGAGTCGTAAGTCATCCTATAAAAATATTCATAGACAAAGACTCTAATCTTTAGAAGATTGAGATGTAGTCAAGTACCCGCAAATGTGGGTTAGAAAGTTTATATTCTACTGTATAAAACTAATACTCGCCTTTTTTTATCTTATTGTAGTTCCATTATCAGCCTCTGGCTCACATCGAGGCCACCGAGAAAAAATTAACTCACTATAGCGTTGGGCAAGGTTGTTTCAATCTTTTCTTGTTGCTTCAACGGCTTTCTCAGTTTTACTAATAGTCAACTCGAAAATTTCCTTACAGCAATTACAGACTGGGATGCGGGAAATGTGCACAGCCATCTCGAGGGCGGCATGCAATACAGTCATGGACGTCTGATTGTGCCTCAAGATGGAGAGTATTATGTCTACGCACAACTGTACTTTCGCAGCAGCGGGAGAGTGCTGATTCGCAAGGGTCACCACGAAGTTATCACCATGCTTCAACATCCCGACAACGTACCACAAGGACCCCAATATGCAGGAGGAGTGTTTTATCTTGAGGCTGGTGACACCCTAGCGTTACAAACCGCGACATCTGTCTCACTTTACATGGCGACTGCTCATTCTTACTTTGGAGCGTTTCTGATTGAGTGAGCTTCACCGCAAAAGCGCGTAAAAGCCTTGAAGGAAATTGTACCATGATATCAATAAAGAATAGAATGATATCAAAAAGGCTATGTTTAACAAAGTAACAAATCCCTAAAGAAACAGCGGTCGTAGTTGAAACAGGAACCACTGATTTCCTCTGAAGCCCCGATGCATCAACAACATTCAGCGGCATTGCTTATCGTTCATGTAAAAAAGCACGAGTTCCTTGCATGATATAACACAGCTTTTTGATCGCGTAGCCTGTTAAGGTTTTTCCTTCAAAATAGTGTCATAGTTTCATGGTAGAATCCTAGTCACCGGTAAACAGTCTCTCTTTGAAGAAAATCTCTTGTCTTCCTGGATTCTGTGCCGGTTTATTTGTTTCTTGAATCATTTTGTTTCTTAATTCTGTTCGAAAAAAAACATCGCATAAGAGAAAGAGAAAAAGCCTAATTTATCTTAACTCACACAGGTATTTCGTGGTCTATTGTCCTTGTTGTCTAAACACTTCTGTGCAGAAATAAAATGCATCGTTATCACGCTTACTGTAGTCTCATTTGGAGCTGTTGTTTGGTCTCGTCACACAACGCCCCTTATTCCTCGTTGGAGAGAGAGCCATTGCGTGACGGGACCAAATAACGGTTGCAAAAGAGTCAAGAAAAGGGACTGCGTTTACAAAAATTTTGATTTCCTCTGACATAAAGAAAATCAGAATTATTCGTCTATAGTTAAACGCCCCAAAAATATAATTCCATGTAATTCTACCACGGAAAGCAAAATGAAACTGTTGTATCTCCAATACATCCTACCCAAAGGTATATTGCGATCTCGAATAAGTGAAGATACATTGAACAAGAGAAAAGGATAATATTTCAAAGAGGGCTCCTTGATTGGTTGTTGCCTTTCTGGACTTTGCTCTCTGTGTGTGAAATACGTGACAAAATACATATTATTTACAAGGAATTAACACGCGACTGGGTAAAGTCCAAGGTAGCTAAAAGTGAATTTTATCCGTCGAAAAGTCAAAACGCGGGAGAATTGCGTGGAAAACTCGCTATCAGTAGCATTAAGTTCCCGGTTAGTTTTTTTTCAGTGGGGTTGGATAAAGCGGTTAGAATACGTGATAAAATTCAGGTTGTTTACAAAGAAATGGCATGTGAGGGAGTGAAGTTTAATGTGGCTAAATGTAATTTGATTAGTAGCATACAATTTAGCTTTAGTTAAATCTAATTGATAATCATCAGCAAGATTAATTATTACACGAAAAGTTGGATCATCGAATGTTAACCTTATTGAATAGACATCGTTACCATCTGCATCTTGTGTCTTTGTTAGTTCTTTAATGTATCGGTCAAAGTCTTCATTTGTCCAAACACCTGAAGCAAAATTTATATTTGTAAAACTGTTGCTATTATCTTTACTATAAAAATTGTTTGATTTTTATATCCAGAGTTGACGTTAAACCATGAAAATGACATGCTTATCACACGATTTAACCCAACTTTATACTGATAATTACTCTCAAGAACAATAGGTTCAGAAAATTTAACAGTAAAATCTCCTGGTCGGTTATTGCCTTCTCCTCGAGCTGAAAAACTTGAAAGTGCTATGTGTCGTTCCATATATATATCTTAAGAAAAATATTTTTTAGTAATTTTCCTATATTGTAATTTGTTGATTTTATTATTCCGTATAAGCTTTCTAAGATTGAGACTTCCATATTTTGTATTTCAATACTAGTGTTGCCTGCCATGATTTCACCGACTATGATTTGTAACTTTTTTAGCAGAACTTCAGAATTATTTTAAAAATAGACTCATTTGCCAAATGGTTTGATACCTGAGCCTTTTTTAGGATATTTCTTCCTATGATATTTGATATATTGCAGCAGCTCTTGTTTTCGTTCACCAAGCTTTTTGTATTCTATATCAGCTTGACTTTTGCTGATTTCACCCTTATTTAATCTTCTTGTTACATGACTCATATCCAGCTATTTGTTTGGATCGGTATACTGCTGTTGCTAATGCTTATGTTAAGTATTTACTTATTTGACTTTCACTTGCTTCTTCTAGTTAATTTAACTTATCTTGCACTTCATCATAACAGTTTAACAGTTTAAGTTCAGATATTAAATCTTTTTCTTTTTCTAAATCATCTGCTGGTTCATACTTTGTTTCACTTAGTGCATAATCTATCTCTTCTGGATATTCCCAGGGTGGTGAACTATCTGCTGTTTGTTTTGATTCTTCGGCTAATGTCTCAACATCTAGATGCTCGAAGGGGTCTTGATAAGGAATTAATCCTTCCACATCCATGTCTTCATATGGATCAACTTCAGGTTTGTAATCTATCTCTTCTGAAAACTGTTTGGGTCGAACCTTGATCTTGACTCGTTCTTTGGGTCGAGTATTTTTTACCACTTCATCTAATCTTTCGGTTAGAGGTCGACAAGTTTGCGCTAGTGTATTATCATAGCTTTTAGTCGATATAATATTTGCTGTAACATTGTCATATACCTGATTAATTGCTCGGCCTACAACGCTCCGTCTTTTTTCATATTCTTGCCATGCTTTGAGATTCATATACCAAGTAAAAACATTAATTTTTAAGCGTTGTTGTGCATATTGTTATTCAAATTGTCTTGCATGCCTTAAAAAATGATATTCTTTAATCTTATAAATGCGCATTCCAAACTATGATTCTCTCGCTGCTAAGACAAAATGTAAGCAATTAAAGTCTTTTATGCCTAATGATAATTTTAGAATGTTAATCTGTGGACCTAGTGGTTATGGCAAGACTAATACTCTTATGCACATGATTTACCAACTCTTGTATTATGATAAGATTTATTTGTATTCGAAATATTTAGAACAACCTAAATACACTCGATTACTAAAAAAATTTGCCTCTATTAGTACAGAATGTGGATATGAAGCTATTGAATCTAGTAATGATGAAATTATTCCTGTCTCTGAATTAAGTGATGAAAATCAAAAACCAATTATCTCTGATGACTTTCTTTGTGAAAAAAACCAAAAGCCTCTAGTTGAATATTTTATTAGAGGTAGATATAAAAATTGTAGTGTTATTTATTTAAGTCAATCTTATTATGTTACACCAAAAGATATTAGACTCAGTTATTCCCATTTTTGCATTTTTTGATTCACCAAGTTCAAGTGAGACTGAAGAATGTGCAGAGAACTCAATATCACTAGAAATGATTTCCTTGATGCTACTCCTGAACTCTTTAGCTTTGCCTACGTAGACAAGATTAACAAATCAATTAAAAAAAACTTCAATGAAAATATATAGATGGGTTACAGTGATGGTCAGTGATGACTTTCATCTTCATAATAAGAGGTTAACTGATGTAGCTGATCCTGTTGATAATCAAGATGCTGCTACCAAAAAATATGTTGATGAAAAAGTCTCAGGGCTTGATTCAAGTAGTCTTCAAGCTGAAGTAGCCAAAAAGGCTGACTTTAATACTCTTAATACTCAAACTTTTAATAGTAAAATAGTCATTCCTGATTACAATGAAAAGGATCGTTTAAATAGTATAGTAGTTAACTTGAAATAGGTTAATGATGAGTTTCTGTCTAATCGGGGTGGTTTTATGAATGGAATTATTATCTTTTCTGATCAAGTACATAATCTCAATAGGTAAATCGTTGGTTTGGCTAACCCTGATCAAGATGATGCTGCAGCTAATAGAGGTTATGTATTATCTCAAGTCTCTTTCAAAGCAGATAAATCTGAATTAACAACTAAGGCTGACAAGAGTGATTTGATACAAAAAGCTGACAAGAGTGAACCGGTACAAAAAGCAGATATTACTTATGTTGATACAGAATTCACAAAAAAAAGCAGATCTAAGTATTATCAATTCAGGACTTGCAATAAAAGCTGATCTTAGTGCTGTTCTGGTTATAGATGGTTCAAATCCAATTATTGGTGATCTTGATATGGGGGCTATAGTCTCATTAATCTCCATGAGCCAAATGAAAATGACTCCAAGCACGCAACCAATGTTATTTTTGTCAAAAAATATATTGCTGACAAGCTAAAACATAATATCACTAATGTGGCTATGCAAAACGATTTGTTGTATTTGATGGGGCCTAATGATAAATTTTTAGATGAAGATGATGTTCTAGGTAAACCTTTTGAAAACAAAGATTTTCACAAGTTTAATAAAGTAACAAAACCTTTGATCTCATCTTAGATTTAAACAAAGGTTTTTATAGCAGCAGAATTGGGGTTAACTTGTATAGTGCTGATAAGTCTGAATATTCTATTGTCTTTGAAATGTTTTGGGAAAATAGTAAAGTCAATCAAGTATCGGTAACCGCAACCAGTTCCGTTGAAGTCACATCTAAAGTCTCAACTAATATTTTCAAAAATAATACACGAACTATTGTTCATCTCTCGAAATTCAATGATGCTGCGCCTAATTATTTGATGTTTGATATTGTGGTTAAATTCAATGGAAGTTATGGTAATAAATTACCAATCTGGGTAGTCGTTTATGGCTCAAAAGGTTACCACAATGATGTTCCGATTTCAGTTTGGGACTTCCTTTATCGGCACACAAACAATGGCATATTTTTTCATATTCCCATTCAAGTCTCGCATGCAACTTCCGCTCAGAATCCAGTTACAAAACATGTTTTTGATGACAGCATTGCTGCTTTGGCAGCAAATAACTTTTTGAAAAGTACGTTTTATGCGGAAGATAGTTCTGTAGTTACAAAAACAATAAAGTAGATGGAATATTTACTCTGCGTATTGCTAATAGCGAGTTGACAACAACTGGTCTCAATAAAAATAATTTTACAATTTTTGTGTCTTTTCATCAAAACGACTCTTTTATCATGTTATTTGTTGTTCAAAGAAGATTATTATCAGTTAAGACAAATGATAAGGAAAGACAACTTTTGCACTGTCTTTTATCATAACGGTGCCTACTATCAATTCAACTTGTTAATAGATAATGGTAATTTCAGAGATGAGACAAAAACTCTTCCAATATATCAAATACCAATATCTCTAGTGATCCCCCACAAAGCGATAATGATAACTATGCAAGTTATGTCAAATACGTCAAACAGGCTGTATCAGATAACAATGCAACTGTAGAAGCAAATATAATTAAAAATATAGACAAAATATTGGCTGAAACATTAATTTGGGAGTATTACACAACTCATGCTACTAGTATTTATCGAATTGATAGAGGATTATCAAGTGAAGTTAAAATAGACTCAAATGGTAAGTTCAGACTATTTATGATCAGACTCTTATAGGAAATCATGCAAATCACACAAATTTAAATTTAAGACCTACTCTTTGTACTCCAGTTAAACGTAACAATAAGATATATTTTATTAAATTCGATGGTACACAAAGAATGATTTCGGATATCAATTTAAATCCAGCAGCTGGAGAAGATGATATTGTGAACGTATTTATTGTCTACA